TGAAAACACGCAAGGTGGCCATTCACGTATGTTGGACATGAGGGTGTCGGTGTAAACATGAAGGGGTTTGAAGCTTGGTTGGAGAAAACACTGAAGTAAGATCAGAGATTTCCATAACTGCTCAAGAACTGTTAGCTGAGGTTTCTAACTAAAATGCAATCAGCAGAGTTCCAAAAGTCTCCATTTAAGGGGTTCTCAAACTCTGGAGGAATGTGGACACTGAGTGGAAACATAGCAGAAGTTATGTGCTCTAAAATAAAAGCGTATGTGTGGATATAGTCTAAGAGAAGAGCTCATACAGTACACAGGATGTGGCTATTTATAGTCAGCCAAGTCTATCACAAACACTGTCGAATGTGATATCAGCTATTCTCCTCCTTCCTCCACCTTCTGGACATTTTACCTGCAGTTTAAAGTAGACATGGGCAAGAAACTGCCATCTGACTGCTACTGAGTGACTAGTCGTAAACGCATTAATGACAAAGATTTCTGTTGTACGCACCATATTCATAAAAAGACAGTCCATGCTGATGGGCGCTCTTCTTTATCTCATTAATGGCAACTAGTAACGTGGCTGTAAAAGAAAAACAGAAAGAGATGTTTAAATACAAACTGCAGAATCACACGTTAAACATCAATAAAAAATGTACTCTGATGATAACCCACCTCCTTCAGATACCAGAGAACCGGCTAAAATACAGTAAGCCTGGAACAGACAAATGTGACATGTGGATTATTTTTCTGCTTTCTTTAATTTGAATTACAGACAAGAAAAAAAAACTCACCCATAACAAAGATTCAATTGGCTGCGGGTGAAGCAATCCCATAATGCCATGGTACCAAGAGAGGCCTGCTCCCATCATAAAAATGCCCACCCCACTGATAAGAGAGGCGATGTAACGCATGTTGGAAAAGCCGTACCTGAAAAACACAAACAGGCTCTTTTATAACCGAAATTTAGGCCACCGTTATTTTAATACACACTCGCTTACACTGCAACTCACAAAGGATTAAAAGGTGCATGAAAAAAGTGGTGTGAACATCTTTCTTTCGCTGTCTGTAACAAGATTTGCTCTGTAAAAAACAATTTATCATAAAGTTTCAATACAAATTCTGCCTAAAGTTTTGCTTGTCACAGTATTGTGTTGTTAATACTCCGTGACAGAATTCAATGCTTGTAAGTCTGTAAAATTACTGGTATAATTTCTACACGAACAGACAGAATTTCTACTACTCTCTGGAGCTGTCATGACTCCTTTGAGGACGACTCAGCTTCCTCTTGCCTACTTTTAAGAAGCATAGTAAGATGTGGTGCTTACGGGTGGCCAGCGTCCGGGTTGCGGATCGATTGGCTGATCCCCAGCGCGAGCAGAGCCTGGTTGCAGGTGTCGGCCAGAGAGTGGATGGCTTCAGAGAACATGCTAGCTGATCCAGTGTAGACCCAAGCCAGGAGCTTAAAGATGAAATTCAAGCCATTGCTGAGGACAAAGAAATAAAGTAAATGACACGCTCCCAGGGGAATGAGAAAGACAATGATCTCAAAAGTAAAATGGCTAACAATAGTTCTGACTGCAGTGGTTTACAGATTCATCAGCTACACGGGTACTTGGCAATGCAGCCTTTAATTCAGACATGAAGACACAAAGTCAAACTTAGCTACTGGTTAATGTTTGTCATGAACTGAAACCAAATGAATGAACACAGAAAACATGTGGAGATTCTTCCTATTTTCTATTCTTAGGCTTCTGAATCACAGAGTTAATACCTGAACTGGACCTCTCCTGCAATGAGCACTCAACTTATTGAGTCCTTGTGCATCCTCCGTGCACTTCATGTGACTGCACATGTCCTCTAACACAATCACCCTAATCTAATAGGCCCCAGAGCTGCATGTGATACAAAGCTCCCATGCAGTTCTGATTAAAAGTTGTGTCAAGCTCTACAGTGCAGGCTATTTATTCAGATGCATGAAAATCTCAACGAGCGCAGGTCAATCGTTCATCTGTAGCATCTGTTTTGGACTTCTGCAACAGAGTTCATCCACATCAGATTGTTGTTCAGCTTCCCTACCAGGTTACGTTCCCACACTTATCCAGCATATTGTGTGTAGTAACCCTGCTGAGAACGGACCCGTAGCTCCTCTCGCTAATCTAATACCTCCCACTGTGTGCGCCACAGCTCAGGAAAGTCACTGAGTACAGAAAGACGTCACAGTGGAACCAAACAAGCATTCGGAAAACAAGTGAGACTGAGGAGAGCATGAAAACTTACATGCAAATAGCAACCATGACCACCTTCCCCGGCCCTTGTAGAAATGTTGTCCTCTTGCCTGATCGAGGCTTTAAGAAAAATAGAAAGACAAGAATAATCTGCAAGGGGCCTTTATCAGCTGATAAAATACAGAGAAGACAGTTTGTTCGCTGTCAGTTCAGTGGACCACATGCTGTTTGTGCTGCTGATAAAATAAACAAGATGCAATTTAGACATAATAAATATGTTGTAAATTCCCTGCCTTGTTGTCAGTAATAAACTTATACAATTGATGTTAGCTAACAAGGCATGTGAGGGGGGTAACTCTGACAAACAGGCCAGCAGAGTATAGAATATACCATGACATACCAGACAAGTGCAGAGCAGTACAGTGACTGAAATAACATCAGCATCATACAGTAAAGAAAGGGGACTGCATTGTCATATAGATGCACTGACCTCTGTAATGGGGACAAAGGTCACACAAACACCACCTCGTGTTATGAGGGCAACTTGGGCATGGTGGTGGGAATGTCGTTTCTCTTTTGTATTTAAAGCTTTTTGTGGAAAGTTGGGTCATGTTTTCCAAGGAATTGGTGGCAACAAAATCAACGTGCTCACCTTAGTGTTTCCCCAAAAGTCTTTGTATTCCTTCAACAGCTGCTGATTCCGAAAAATATCTGGAGGTCAGCAGACGAGAGGTACAATTAAAACATTATCTTAACCATTCAGAGACGAAAAACAACAAAACAAACCTAAGATATATAAATACGTTACACATATATTGACAAAAGTTCTGTTAAAATGTAGCTTCAGTTCAGTTTTAGCATGAAAGAATTACTACATTTTGCTCATGGCTTTCTGTACGAGAGTTAGAAGACTGATGCAACCCTTACTTCTGTCAACTAGCTACATAAGCTACAGCTAGCAGCTGGTTAGCCTACATGGCTTTTCTGTGCTCAAGCAAGATTAATCTACATACAGTAAAAGGAATGAGTCAGAAATCTATGCTTTTTGCTGGTATTTAACATAAACACAATGCATAAACAAAAATGTCTTTTATACTTGACACTCCAATTAACAAAATTGTCTCAAAAAAAAAAACTCCACCGTGTCCTGGTATAAACATTAAGTCTGTGTAAAGGGAACAAAATCAGCATACCAGCTTCTTCAGACTTCACTGATTAACACGATACATCTTTTTTGTTTAAGAAGTTTAAAAACCAAAGTGTAAAAGTTTCCTTCTATGGAAGGTCATGTGATTATGTGCGACTACTTCCTGGCCACAACTAATTAAGTCTGTAGTCTTCGCTGGTTGCCTGGCAACTGCTCTGAGCCAAGAAACAGCCACACACAAAACCATGTTGTTCTAACACTTTGGTTCTGTGTTGGATGAGATAAAACGTGCTAATGAGTGAACTTAAGCAGTTCCTATTTGGTATTTCCAGTTTTTGTGCAAAGGCAAGTGAACTGGCCGCCACCTGCAGCTTCATTTTAAGAAGGCTGATTTGAAAATGGTATCAATCTTCTCATGAACCGGTGAAAAAGCATGCTTCCCAAAATAATGACCTTTAGGATTAAGACACAAGCTGAAGTATTGTTACATGTTCACAAAGATGAATGTTCAGCCAGAAAAAGATGAAAACCTACTCTCTTGGTACTCCCTCTCCACCTCTTTCCTGAGGTTTCTCTCTCGGGCAAGAGCTTCGTGGCTTCCCCATACATCTATCGCTCTAATAGTCACAGAAAGGAACAGCAGGTATTTGTTGAAATACTGCAGTATTATTCTGATCTCTTAAGGTGTAAAGCAGAGGGGCTGGACACTAACTTGGCCTCCACGTCTGACCGCAAAAACACAGTGAAAGCTTCTGTGTCGTCGTGTGGGCTGCGCCTCCTGATCTTCCGGAGTTGTTCTAAATCACTGTAATCACATGAAGGGAAAGAGGAAGACCAAGATTTAGATGAAACCTGTGTTGGTGGGCAGTCTTGAATTAGCTAATTTCAAAAGCATGCTTACTTATTAACCCAAAGAATGTGTGCCACGGTTGTGATCTGTGAGCGGATCAGTTAGCAGTGAACAGATGGACGCCACTCATTTGGTTTAGCATTGATGATGTACAGCTTAGTGTTGCTGTATATAGTGAATAGACTTAACATAAATCAACATTATTAGGAAACAGGAGTTACCTTGGTTTGAGGCAGAACTCATTCATGGCTCTGACTGCAGTGATAAAGTTGTTCTGAGTGTATTTGGCTCCATATTCCCTTTTCTTCAGGACAGCCCGAACTATGTTTGACAACAGAGAGAAATCAAATGATGCAGGGTCTCCAGTCTTATTCACGCCACCAAATTACATTTTAAAGATAACTCAAGGATAAAAAAGCATGTCTTATTGAATATCTATTTAACATGGAGGAAACACAAATGTTGCTCATTACCTTTCACATGAATTGTCTCTGCCTTCGTCAGCCCCTGAGGTGTCAAACCTGTAAAAGCAAAAATTTGAACTTATGTTACCGAAAGCCAAATTCTTCTNAAAAAAACGTACCTCTTTATCGCTCCATATGTGTAAAGATCTTAAGAGGAAGCTCCCTCCAAGCGGTATGCCCAGCTTCTTCTGTCTTCACAGTCCAGAGAGAAAGTGTGGAGCCTCAGAAAGAACCAGACATCTTAAAGAAGTTGATGAACACATTACCCACACAGCACAGATGAGATGTGAAGAAGACACCCAAAGCCCACAAGAGAAAAGGAAAGCAAAAATAATTTAATAAATTATTTCAAATTTATTCCAAGTCCTTCAGCAGTGACTACGTAGTTACAACCAAAGGGAAAATATTTCACTATTAACACCTTCAAAAATATATATCCACCCTCCCAGCAAAGATGAGACGGCTCTGGCCCACCTCCTGAAGCAGAACAAAGATGTTGGCAGGCAGGCAGGTGTGTCCCATGCTGCAGCTGTGACTGTGCGCTGGCAGCCAAAGCAAAAAAAAAAAAGCACAGTCGCCGTATGTTTTTTAGAGATTATTCAGCAGAAACACCGAGTAGGAGACAGTTCACTTGATAATGTGAGCACACGGACTGCACAGGGTGACATCCTGAATGACTTGTTTTGATTGGAAGGATTTGACAGATGTTTTTTTGCAGACCGAGAAAATATGCAGCTAGTCTGTTTGTTTTTGTCAATATCAAGACCACTTATTTACACATGGTGGAGCACGTGGGGCACAGACATCCTTTCCAGTACTTCATCTTTGGATCAATACAATCTGCTGATCAGTGGAAAACCTCACAGGAAGTTTGTAAACCTTAAAAACCTTGGAGAAGTTTGTAGCCGGCAAAGAGAAAAGGGGAAGAGAAGAGATGCTTATAATGTCATTTCTTGGCTTGGAAGATGTTCAATCTTGTAATCTGAAAAGATGTCCAATAAATATTTCATAAAACATTTAACTTGATGTATAATGTTGTAACACTGTTTTCTAACAGTTTTTTTTTTGTTGTTTTTTTTTCTTCTTGCATAAGCTGATGCTCATTAAATGCTACTGTATTCAGCTTCACTTTACTCTTGAACTCTATTATACAAATCAATGAAAAGTCTCAATACCATTCAATTTGCATATTTTTTTCTGTAATAGCAGTAAAATCTATTCATCACAAATTCTGTCTTCATTACAGAACCCGAAGCACTGTGCCATCTTCAGTTTCTCTTTTTTTAACAATAAATGAAAAAAAACAAACAACCAAACATCTAATATTATCTAGCCTTTAAATAAGTCTGTTTGAGTATGTAGCTCTTAGGTTTCCTCTGCACTAATCAAGGAAACACTATCACTGTGGTTCAAGCATAACATTAAAGTAAAGTACGAGTCGAGTAAATGATACTGGTCCTGCTCTTGGTTTTGCTTTTGAAACAGACGTGATGTCAACCACGGCCAAAACACATTTATGGAGGAATGTGAGTTCAAGCAAAACACCAGGAGACTAAACTGTCAGGAGGTGTGTGTGTGTCAGAATTTCTACTGAAATTCAAGGAGGCTAATGACAGTCAGCAGTCTTTTCTCCAGAAACACTTGAATGTGAACGTGGATCTGTGGCAGGCTGAACTCTGCTAACTGAAGTTCAAGCGCTGCTCAAACACTGTCCATGCTTATCCTTCGGGACTATTCTACAGTAAGACTTGTGCGGGTTTGTTGTGGTGGTCAGAATGGGAGGCAGATTGTAGAGGCAGGCTGGGCCCTCCTTTCATCTTTTCTTCTTCTGCTGCTGCTGCTCTTGTTGGTACAGCAGGATGTTTCCTCAGCAGAGAGCTGGGAGTGTTATAGAATCTCCAAGTCTACGTGACGGACCTCCGGATTACGTTGCTATGGGGGCACAAAACAGAGTTACACACAAACCTAGCTTGCAATTCTTACAGATTACATCCAACGTGCAAATAAGTCATATTGTATTATGTAGTTATAAAAAACAAAACAAAACACAAGACTCATGTTATATCGTAGCATCAGCCAGACAACAAACTGAATGAGCACACAGTCTCGTATTTTAGCACCTTGAGTTCTTTCTCTAAGCGGTCCACCTCGGCCCCCAGGGTGTCGATGATGTTCTCCCCGTGTTTCAGCATGAAGTTCTCCAGCTCCTCGGGGGTTTTTACCTGCTGAATGTCCTGCAGAGACACACACACACACTTAGCTTTGGAAGTAAAGAAATAAGTCTGCAACATCGATGCAAGGTGGATACAGCAAAAGCCAAAACATACAGACTTGCTTCTGCTTTGAATAAATGATTTCTGACGCTTCAGTTTAAGTCGCTCATACGGCACAATTCATGTTCAGGTTTTTCCACATATTTGGGTAGGACCACTGACTCGAATAAACTCAATCGAGAGGCAACATGAAAATCCCAAACCTCTGCAAACTGTAAGATTATGTGGAGAACGCCTCCTCTGACCTATAAATCTGACTTACAAATCATGTTTTCCACACAAGAGAATGTGCATTTGCTACAGACTTTAGCAAAAACATTGTTTTTATGTGCATATAAAAAAAATGCAAAATGCAATGCAAAATTCCCACTAAAATCCTGACGCACGTCGTAATGTCTGATGGAATAATCGCAACAAGATTTTTCTGCATATCGTTCAGCTCTGTTCTGACGTGCCCACTGCATGTGGAAGAATATCTACATCCTTGTTGAAAGAAGAAATCGGCTTAAATTTCTGCTTGAGTCATTTTGAGGATTTGTACACATTGCAAACACAACTATAAATGTTCAAACTGATTGTAAGTGTTGATGCTGATGTGAGCAAAATACTTTTCTAATTAAAATACTGCTCCTTTCATTGAATGCAGAAGAGAAAGCAAAAACTTAGCAAAGTAGACAATGAATCTGAGCAGTATTAGATCAGACCTGCACACCTTTCTGTTAGTTTGATGGAAACTGAACTTGTCGGCTTCATGTCTGAATGATCACCCTGGTTACTTTTCTGTTAAAGCTGCTACTCTTACTACATCACACCTTGTAACTTCTCCACTTTCAACATGGCACAACTCTGAACTGCCTGCAGTCACATTAACAGACAGACATGCTGATTTGACTTTGAGCTAGCCACAGTTAATTAGACAGTTTGGTTAGTTTTAGTCTTTTGTTTATGAGTCGATCCTTGAACCTTGACATACTATGCAGTCTTGCACAGACTGTGGCTCTCTCTGTCACTGTGTTTGGTTTGTCTGCATGAAGCTGTGAGGAATATTAATGTAAAAATGACCTTTGCCTCAGTGACAGGATGTCGGCACTTTACCAGACTGATGCAGTCAGCAAAGTTACATATCCCATGTCTGAAAAGGGCTGTCATAAAAGACTGTCAGTGATGCTGTATTAAAAGATGACATCCTGAGAGTTAGGACACGATATGGTGAAGCAGCATTTTGTTGTCATGCAGAAGAGACCTGGAATAACCTCCCAGCTGATGTTGGATGAGCCCAGACTCTGACACCTTTCGAGTCAAACCTAAACCCTTTTTTTTTACACTATTAACTCTACCCTGTAATGATTGCAAAACAATTTTAGATAATTATTTGATCCATGCATTTCATGTCTGCATCTTTGTGATCTTGAATTGTGAATTACAAATAGTACATCACTTTGTGTATTTAAAATGTTAAATCTGTTCTTTACTATGTTTATAATATTTAACTAAAGGACTTTGAAGTGCCCAGTGTATGACATGTGCTACACAAACAAAGCTGCCCTGCCTTGTAATGAAGTTCCTTTCTGTACCATACAGCAGCATGTGTTCACATAAGCGATGACATTTTCTCAACTGTCACTACTGACAGCTGTCATAACAGCATAAACAAGAAAAAATAAAACTAACTATCCCATACTGAATGACAAGTCAGTGTTTTGATTGGATCTGTGGTGTGGTGTTCATGTGTTTTAGCCAATAACTTGTGAGCAACAAGCACAATCACAAATAGAGCAGGTTCAAATTTCAATCAACTATTAATGTGTTTTGTTTTTTCACTAAACATGTACAAGTATTTAAGTCAAACAGAGTGATGAAAGACACTTACATTGAGGATTTGGTCAATGTCTTGTTTTTCCAGATAAGACCGTGTCACCACTCGGCCATCAAAATCAACTTCAGCCTTGAAGCGCACTTTACTCAGTCCCATATCCGTGGCCTTCACGTCGTGGATGGCCCTGCTCACAAACAAAACAAAGCAGTTCTTTAAATCTGCAGGATAGGAAAAGCTAATCAACTTAAGTCAGGGAACAAATCACCAGAACTAGATACTACAGAGGATTTCTACAACAACAAAAGTGTTCACTATGTGGCAGTTAGAAGAAACTGGTTCCAAAATGATAGCTTTTATTTCTCAAAGCCAGGTTTGTCACTCACACTTCCGTGTTTATGTGACTGAAGCATTAGACTGGATCGTTCTGTACTGCTCTGTGTACAGCTGCTCATCAGGACAGTTGCATGTCAGGTCCAGGAAATACCATGTGATCTATTTCAAGCCTGAACGTTTTTCATTAACGTTAGCAGACCTTCAAAGCCATTCTTAGACCCCTGCGATTGACTCTCAATAGGTGATGGGTGGATTTATTTCTGTTCACACGAATGGTTCCAGACCCGACATCAACTCGAGCTGGTTCTTGTTTTGCAGTTGCGGTGTTTTGTGTGTGTTTGTTCATTTGCTGACCTCACAGCGGGGTCGTTCTCCAGAAATTCTGTAAGCTTCTGCACACGCTCGGCCTGTATGGAGCGTCCCAGCAGGGCTTCTGTGTTCGTGTAGATGAGGAAGGCTGAGACGGTACCCAGCAAAGTGCCCACGCCAAGAGAGCCCAAACTGTCGTAGTATGGGTTACCTGGGACAGTCAGCAAACTTTTATCAGGTGCCAACATTTAAATTACAGATCAAAGTACAACAGCACGGGAGAGGGAGGTTATTCTGTGGGTAATTACGCACATCAGCAGAATAATAAATCATACTATAGATAGAGAAAAAGATATAAAAAGAAGCTATTAACAGTACAGATCAGGACAGACGTTACCTGTGAGTGAGGTGAGTCCCATGCAGCCAGCAGCCAAGATGACTCCTAACACAGCAGCAGCATCCTCCAGCAACACCACGTTCGTACTGGGGTCTCGACTCTGCATCACTGCACACATTGAACAATGCAGACCACATTGACACCCCAATTTTTAAATGTACAAGTCACCAATTTGCTAATTATCCACATTTACATTTGCTGTCAGAAGTCTCCTGTGGCGGGTCGCTGCTTTAGCTCACCTGGTTGAGCTGGCGACCCACGTACAGGAGCTATAGTCTCCGATGCAGCGGCCATGGGCTCAAATCCAGCTCATGGCCCTTTGCTGCAACCCCTTCCCCCATTCTCCTCCCCCACTTTCCTGTCTCTCTTTTGACTGTCCTATGTAGTAAAGGCAAAAAGGCCAAAAAAAACTTTTAAAAAATAAGAAGTCTCCTGTGGCTAGATTTCCAACAGTCACATAAAACACCTTGATTCATTTTACCACAGAGAAGAGTTTCATGTAAGTCAAACCGATTGCAGGTGTATTCACTCTGAATCATTTCTGCATGTATTGTTTATAGTGTCACTTTAAGACTACGTGCACAGTTATACGTCCTCATTTTAAAGCATTTTTAAACGAAATTGATCTTCGTTCAGACAAACATTTTACCGATGTTTCAGAAATGATCTTAACACATAATATACATAACATGTCTGAAAACACGCAAGGTGGCCATTCACGTATGTTGGACATGAGGGTGTCGGTGTAAACATGAAGGGGTTTGTCGCTTGGTTGGAGAAAACACTGAAGTAAGATCAGAGATTTCCATAACTGCTCAAGAACTGTTAGCTGAGGTTTCTAACTAAAATGCAGTCTGCAGAGTTCCAAAAGTCTCCATTTTAGGGGTTCTCAAACTCTGGAGGAGTGTGGACACTGAGTGGAAACATAGCAGAAGTTATGTGCTCTAAAATAAAAGCGTATGTGTGGATATAGTCTAAGAGAAGAGCTCATACAGTACACAGGATGTGGCTATTTATAGTCAGCCAAGTCTATCACAAACACTGTCGAATGTGATATCAGCTATTCTCCTCCTTCCTCCACCTTCTGGACATTTTACCTGCAGTTTAAAGTAGACATGGGCAAGAAACTGCCATCTGACTGCTACTGAGTGACTAGTCGTAAACGCATTAATGACAAAGATTTCTGTTGTACGCACCATATTCATAAAAAGACAGTCCATGCTGATGGGCGCTCTTCTTTATCTCATTAATGGCAACTAGTAACGTGGCTGTAAAAGAAAAACAGAAAGAGATGTTTAAATACAAACTGCAGAATCACACGTTAAACATCAATAAAAAATGTACTCTGATGATAACCCACCTCCTTCAGATACCAGAGAACCGGCTAAAATACAGTAAGCCTGGAACAGACAAATGTGACATGTGGATTATTTTTCTGCTTTCTTTAATTTGAATTACAGACAAGAAAAAAAAACTCACCCATAACAAAGATTCAATTGGCTGCGGGTGAAGCAATCCCATAATGCCATGGTACCAAGAGAGGCCTGCTCCCATCATAAAAATGCCCACCCCACTGATAAGAGAGGCGATGTAACGCATGTTGGAAAAGCCGTACCTGAAAAACACAAACAGGCTCTTTTATAACCGAAATTTAGGCCACCATTATTTTAATACACACTCGCTTTCACGGCAACTCACAAAGGATTAAAAGGTGCATGAAAAAAGTGGTGTGAACGTCTTTCTTTCGCTGTCTGTAACAATATTTGTTCTGTAAAAAACGATTTATCATACGGTTTCCATACAAATTCTGCCTAAGGTTTTGTTTGTCATAGTATTGTGTTGTTAATACTCCGTGACAGAATTCAATGCTTGTAAGTCTGTAAAATTACTGGTATAATTTCTACACGAACAGACAGAATTTCTACTACTCTCTGGAGCTGTCATGACTCCTTTGAGGACGACTCAGCTTCCTCTTGCCTACTTTTAAGAAGCATAGTAAGATGTGGTGCTTACGGGTGGCCAGCGTCCGGGTTGCGGATCGATTGGCTGATCCCCAGCGCGAGCAGAGCCTGGTTGCAGGTGTCGGCCAGAGAGTGGATGGCTTCAGAGAACATGCTAGCTGATCCAGTGTAGACCCAAGCCAGGAGCTTAAAGATGAAATTCAAGCCATTGCTGAGGACAAAGAAATAAAGTAAATGACACGCTCCCAGGGGAATGAGAAAGACAATGATCTCAAAAGTAAAATGGCTAACAATAGTTCTGACTGCAGTGGTTTACAGATTCATCAGCTACACGGGTACTTGGCAATGCAGCCTTTAATTCAGACATGAAGACACAAAGTCAAACTTAGCTACTGGTTAATGTTTGTCATGAACTGAAACCAAATGAATGAACACAGAAAACATGTGGAGATTCTTCCTATTTTCTATTCTTAGGCTTCTGAATCACAGAGTTAATACCTGAACTGGACCTCTCCTGCAATGAGCACTCAACTTATTGAGTCCTTGTGCATCCTCCGTGCACTTCATGTGACTGCACATGTCCTCTAACACAATCACCCTAATCTAATAGGCCCCAGAGCTGCATGTGATACAAAGCTCCCATGCAGTTCTGATTAAAAGTTGTGTCAAGCTCTACAGTGCAGGCTATTTATTCAGATGCATGAAAATCTCAACGAGCGCAGGTCAATCGTTCATCTGTAGCATCTGTTTTGGACTTCTGCAACAGAGTTCATCCACATCAGATTGTTGTTCAGCTTCCCTACCAGGTTACGTTCCCACACTTATCCAGCATATTGTGTGTAGTAACCCTGCTGAGAACGGACCCGTAGCTCCTCTCGCTAATCTAATACCTCCCACTGTGTGCGCCACAGCTCAGGAAAGTCACTGAGTACAGAAAGACGTCACAGTGGAACCAAACAAGCATTCGGAAAACAAGTGAGACTGAGGAGAGCATGAAAACTTACATGCAAATAGCAACCATGACCACCTTCCCCGGCCCTTGTAGAAATGTTGTCCTCTTGCCTGATCGAGGCTTTAAGAAAAATAGAAAGACAAGAATAATCTGCAAGGGGCCTTTATCAGCTGATAAAATACAGAGAAGACAGTTTGTTCGCTGTCAGTTCAGTGGACCACATGCTGTTTGTGCTGCTGATAAAATAAACAAGATGCAATTTAGACATAATAAATATGTTGTAAATTCCCTGCCTTGTTGTCAGTAATAAACTTATACAATTGATGTTAGCTAACAAGGCATGTGAGGGGGGTAACTCTGACAAACAGGCCAGCAGAGTATAGAATATACCATGACATACCAGACAAGTGCAGAGCAGTACAGTGACTGAAATAACATCAGCATCATACAGTAAAGAAAGGGGACTGCATTGTCATATAGATGCACTGACCTCTGTAATGGGGACAAAGGTCACACAAACACCACCTCGTGTTATGAGGGCAACTTGGGCATGGTGGTGGGAATGTCGTTTCTCTTTTGTATTTAAAGCTTTTTGTGGAAAGTTGGGTCATGTTTTCCAAGGAATTGGTGGCAACAAAATCAACGTGCTCACCTTAGTGTTTCCCCAAAAGTCTTTGTATTCCTTCAACAGCTGCTGATTCCGAAAAATATCTGGAGGTCAGCAGACGAGAGGTACAATTAAAACATTATCTTAACCATTCAGAGACGAAAAACAACAAAACAAACCTAAGATATATAAATACGTTACATATATATTGACAAAAGTTCTGTTAAAATGTAGCTTCAGTTCAGTTTTAGCATGAAAGAATTACTACATTTTGCTCATTGGCTTTTTGTACGAGAGTTAGAAGACTGATGCAACTCTTATTTCTGTCAATTAGCTACATAAGCTACAGCTAGCGGCTGGTTAGCCTACATGGCTTTTCTGTGCTCAAGCAAGATTAATCTATATACAGTAAAAGGAATGAGTCAGAAATCTATGCTTTTTGCTGGTATTTAACATAAACACAATGCATAAACAAAAATGTCTTTTATACTTGGCACTCCAATTAACAAAACTGTCTCAAAAAAAAAAAAAAAAACTCCACCGTGTCCTGGTATAAACATTAAGTCTGTGTAAAGGGAACAAAATCAGCATACCAGCTTCTTCAGACTTCACTGATTAACACAATTTATCTTTTTTGTTTAAGAAGTTTAAAAACCAAAGTGTAAAAGTTTCCTTCTATGGAAGGTCATGTGATTATGTGCGACTACTTCCTGGCCACAACTAATTAAGTCTGTAGTCTTCGCTGGTTGCCTGGCAACTGCTCTGAGCCAAGAAACAGCCACACACAAAACCATGTTGTTCTAACACTTTGGTTCTGTGTTGGATGAGATAAAACGTGCTAATGAGTGAACTTAAGCAGTTCCTATTTGGTATTTCCAGTTTTTGTGCAAAGGCAAGTGAACTGGCCGCCACCTGCAGCTTCATTTTAAGAAGGCTGATTTGAAAATGGTATCAATCTTCTCATGAACCGGTGAAAAAGCATGCTTCCCAAAATAATGACCTTTAGGATTAAGACACAAGCTGAAGTATTGTTACATGTTCACAAAGATGAATGTTCAGCCAGAAAAAGATGAAAACCTACTCTCTTGGTACTCCCTCTCCACCTCTTTCCTGAGGTTTCTCTCTCGGGCAAGAGCTTCGTGGCTTCCCCATACATCTATCGCTCTAATAGTCACAGAAAGGAACAGCAGGTATTTGTTGAAATACTGCAGTATTATTCTGATCTCTTAAGGTGTAAAGCAGAGGGGCTGGACACTAACTTGGCCTCCACGTCTGACCGCAAAAACACAGTGAAAGCTTCTGTGTCGTCGTGTGGGCTGCGCCTCCTGATCTTCCGGAGTTGTTCTAAATCACTGTAATCACATGAAGGGAAAGAGGAAGACCAAGATTTAGATGAAACCTGTGTTGGTGGGCAGTCTTGAATTAGCTAATTTCAAAAGCATGCTTACTTATTAACCCAAAGAATGTGTGCCACGGTTGTGATCTGTGAGCGGATCAGTTAGCAGTGAACAGATGGACGCCACTCATTTGGTTTAGCATTGATGATGTACAGCTTAGTGTTGTTGTATATAGTGAATAGATTTAATATAAATCAGCATTATTAGGGAACAGGAGTTACCTTGGTTTGAGGCAGAACTCATTCATGGCTCTGACTGCAGTGATAAAGTTGTTCTGAGTGTATTTGGCTCCATATTCCCTTTTCTTCAGGACAGCCCGAACTGTGTTTGACAACAGAGAGAAATCAAATGATGCAGGGTCTCCAGTCTTATTCACGCCACCAAATTACATTTTAAAGATAACTCAAGGATAAAAAAGCATGTCTTATTTAATATCTATTTAACATGGAGGAAACACAAATGTTGCTCATTACCTTTCACATGAATTGTCTCTGCCTTCGTCAGCCCCTGAGGTGTCAAACCTGTAAAAGCAAAAATTTGAACTTATGTTACCGAAAGCCAAATTCTTCTTGAAGACTGTTAAAAAAAAAAAACATACTGAACAGAAATATAAATGCAGCATGTAATATTTGATTAAATACATGCATTCTTTTTAATACAGAGCGATAAGTATTTGTTGTTGCAGCGCGAAGCATCTCTACAGGAGGATGGACGTCACGAAACCACCGAGAACGCACTATGTTGGAAATGATAAGGGGCAAATGGAGAGTAGAGTCACAGAGAGAAATCAGAAATCACAAGTCAGGAACAAGTGTGTCCACTATTTGTATCTTGTAGAGCAACACACAGAGTTAATGAGGTGTCGATGCTTGTGGAATGTTCCTGCTCTTTCTGAGGGCTTGGCGAAGTTGATGGACATTTTAGGGGACAGGATCATGCTGTTGGACATCCGGAGCATCATACGGTAGACAGTCTGTTGTACCATGCTGTCTGAAACATGTTCTTAGACAAATGGTGAAGTTTTGAACATTCAAGTCCTTGACTACACCCCAAACTGACACGCCGGCATCCAGCATGCCATATAGCCCGTTCTTGTTCTCTCTCGTCATCATTGTCCCTTAAAGCCACGCCTCACTAGGGTGTGGAATAATTCAATGACAAATTGTCACCAGTTGTACCATTCAAAGACCTTCTGTGTAAAAACTGACAAATGTGAACCCTTTCTAACAACAGAAAGTTTATAGATAATGGATGGATGACTTTTGAAATTGATTCAGTGGAAAAGAAATGCAAAAACTACCATTCTCATAACAGATATAGCAACATATTGTTAGATCTGTAAATGTAATTACAGTATTTTTTGCATATCGTTCCAGCTCCAGTTACAAAGGCAGACCATTTGCATGCTGCTCTTACATTTTAGCTCAGCACACTGACTCAACAGAACCGTTTCCTGTGACTTCCATTGACACGAGTTGTAACGAATTGAAAAAATAGGCTCAAATGGGGAAATGGTAAATATTACTGCACGCATGACAATTCAGCAACATTAAAGTTTCTTACCTGATGAAGCTGGGGTGGCTTTTGTCGCAGCAGACACGACCTTTGCGGCTGAAGGAGCATCTCCTGATGGTGACTTTGGAGGACCATCTTTGCTGTTGCCAGAGGTAGAGTAGTACTGGACTTTGCTCAGCCCCAGAGAAGCCACACGGCAGTCCGGGAGACTGAACCATAAGCTATGTATACCTCCATTCTGCCAACCTGTGCGACACAATGTGTGACATTAGTCTGCTTAGTTCCTCCCAAACCAACCCCATTGTTACAGAGCCAGCAGAGCAGACAGGACGGTGGTGTGTAACAGCTGGACACAGCGTCCGCTCACCGTAGCAGAGATGGGGGAACCTCGAGGACCGATGGGACAGTGACGCCCGGTGCTGCAAGGAGACCCTGCAGAAGACATGCCATGGTCTGTGGGCCAGGCTTTGGAACATCCTCGCTGTAGCAGGGCTCGGTACTGAAGTGCAGGAACTCGCTGTGCAGAGTCACAGACAGCCCGGTCACTGCTATGTTAGCAGCCTGCTTACCAACTTAACCCAGAGACAGATTAACGCCAAGACATCGCTCCTCAAGTTCACAGTGACATCAAGCCGCGGCTACAGACAAACGCACATGTTTAACACAGATGACATTAGTGTCAAACTGAACTGGGTGTCACCTGGTTGGACAACTACTGTCTTCGCCGGCCGGCTAACAAAAGCTGGCTGAACTACAGCCCCACTAAACCCGGAGCCACACACCGAGCTAACTCAGCTAGCTAGCACTGTAAGCTAACAGCGTTAGCCTCCGTAAGTAACAAGTGCTGTAACACATTTCAATTTACACCAAAACAACTGCAACTGGCTAGTCAGTACAGACATACAAGAGTGTTCAGAAAAGCCAATACCTTTCTATGGTGAGGTTTGTTCTGCATAATCTGTATCCATTTTGAGAATCTATGGCCAGACTGATGCTAACGCCACTATGGACGTAAAGCGCTACAAACACACACACATCCACACGTGACCTGTGACAATGGAGTGACGTTGATATAATATCGCGAGAGCCGGTGCAGTTTTGGTTTTGCCAACTTGTATCGCGATACTCCGCCCACCGCTGTGCAAACAAGGTCATTTTAAGTTCCTCGTTGTTTCCCCAGCCCTCTATTACCGCTGTTAACATCTGGCTTCATCAAATACAGCAGAGGAAGGCTACTCAGATTCAAAGTATATTTAATTTGATGAAAAATATTGGCAAATACTTTTTTTTTTTAATGATATGACCACTTTTAGTTTTTACACTAAATTGCAGAGGAAAATATTTGAACTATACTTTTTAAGATATACCAGCTTTCATAATGCAACAAAGAGACAAACTAAAGGGGGCTGCAGGACTTTCTTTTTCTTTTCCCCCCTTTTTTTAAGTTGCAAAATGCAACAAAAATGCAGCTGTCCTGTTCCATACCCATTTGTGTTACAAAAAAATCTAGGTCCTTATGTGTGAGTTGTACTGTGCCAAGAGAGACCCACACATTTCCAAAACTATTCTGTGTATTGGGTTTGAACCTTTTCCATTTGCTTAACAAACATCTCCTTAAAGTCAACGCAGGAACACCAATTCCTAGATGTCAAGCAATCTGCACATCAGATGGATGTGTACAAGTCTGCAGAGCATCCAACGATTGTCCAATGAGTTGGTTTTAAAAAAAACTAGTCTAAAAGCAAAAAAAAATAAAAAATCCCAAAAAACAGCATGCGTTAAATACTTAAAATCAAAATAATATCAAATACGATGTAACATGTGTCTATAATTATATAATCTATAACTCTGCATTATACTTTACAAGCAGATAAAGATTTGTATGTAAAATCATCAAGTGTAAAGTATCCAGTAACCATGGCAATTGCAATAATATAGTTGAGTAAAAAGTACATATGAGATATAGTATCACAAAATGGAACATAAAGTACAAGCACCTCAAAATGTTATTTAAATAAATTACATTACTTATTACCACTACTGTATTCTGAAAGTAATTTTGGTGTGGACATAAGAGATCACCTACCAGGCTGACGTTAGACATAGAGAGTATTTTACGTCATTGGTTAAACCACCTGTCAAGTAAAAGCCATAATTACATTTTTTTTTCGTCAGTAATGATATTGTGAGTCACTGAAGAAAAACAAAAACGAACATGAACATTCATCACAGTTCACCCATAATATTGTCTGTCAGGAGTTGTCTTAAATGGAACGTTATTATAATACGTTTTGACTTGATAGGTCTCTCTGGAAAAATCTGTCTGTCCAAGTGACTCCGTTATTGCCCAACCCGAATCAATTGTTAACGCACACAGGGAAGGGCACTTAAAGGGCGTTACAACACAGCAGCTAAACAAACAACAAAAAAAGTGCTGAGTCACAGAACTTGGAAAAAAAATAGCCACAACACTTAAGAAAAAGTTGCAGGTTTATTGGATCTTTTGAACAGTACAGTAGATATATGTCATGACCTTGCATTGGTATTGAAAAGGTGCCTTTAACAGCAGAAATGTTTGTATTATTCATCTGACAAATGACTGACAAATCAAACACATACACTAGGAGAGAGGTCTTTTGACTTCCCATGCAATCTCTTGACAACAAGACCTGCAGATCAATCACTTCCATTTCACAATCATTAAAATGGAATTCAGAGTTTTCAATCAATATTCATGACCCACAGTACAGTTTAAGAAGGTCATACCTCAGTCTTGGTCCATTTAGGTAATAATTAGAAAAAGCGAAACAATGCGTAACAAATAAGGTCACTTAAATGAGAGAAAATGGAAGCATGTCGGTAGTTTGATAAAGCAAGTCGTCAAGCTGATGCGAGAGTAGTACGGGGCAGTGACTCTGTCCTGGTATGCTTGTCTGGGCCGCTGGTCGTATAGGGAGGCAAGGGGGGGGCGTTTGTGTTTGCATTAACGCATGGTGACAAACTCCTCAGACGAGGTGGGGTGAATGGCGACGGTCTTGTCAAAGTCTGCTTTGGTAGCGCCCATTTTGATGGCGACAGCAAATCCCTGCAGCATCTCGTCACAGCCCAGGCCCTGCATGTGCAGACCTACCACCTGGGGAAATGAGAAAGATCAGCTTTTGACAATAACCGCAGCGGTTTGTGTACAAAAAGAAAGAAAATACGGACACAGTCTAACTTATAAAAAGGTTTTAGCTGAGGCAGTAACGGCCTTAAAGAGACTTCAAGTGCCCTCTTTGCTGCTTTCTGTATTAGAGTAAAGGGATGCAAAGGTAATTTTTAGTGTCTTCATAAACTTTGGCCTCAGTTGTGAAACATGGGACAACAACTGTGGTTACAGCATAGTAAGAACAGGAGCAATATCTTAGGTTTTTAAACAAATGTGAAGATGGTTTAGAGAAGATTCTGCTTTTCATATTTTAATACCACAAAAAGTTTTCAAGCAAGTTTTCAGATCTTCATTGTTGCAGATAATTAAGTGATGTATATATTAAGAAATAATGTCAGTTACACAATACGGTAGCACAGAAACTATTTACAACTGTGGAAAAATCCAAACATTTCTGAGAAAATTCTAATTTAAAGTACGGTTTCTGATTTGTAGAGATGTGTTAGTAATTTCCTTTACCAAGTGGCTGTTATATTGAGAGGAGATGCCTCCTACCTTCTCCTCTTTGCCCTCACACACCAGCTTCATGATGCACTGACTCTTCCTGCTTGTGATGGCGTGATACATCGGAGTGAAAGAAGTCTTGTAGATCTTTATATTCTCCTTTCCTCTGGCTTTGATGGCCTCCTCTGTGGCAAGAACAAACGCAAGCAAGCATATAAATTAACACAAAACTTGTGCAGCATTTCCGTTGGACTCAAATTACAGTGAGAAAATAAGAAATGAGAAAATGTCATAATTGTAAAGCTAAAGACACGTTCCGGTGTACTCACCCTCTGTGAGGCCCACAGTACCGATGGGTGGGTGGCTGAACACCACTGTGGGAATGCTGGAATAGTCCAACTTGGAGTCTTTCTTGCCCTCAAACAGTCTGTGTGCCAGCTTTCTGCCTGCAGCGATGGCAACTGTACCAACACATAGCATCACATAACATCAGTGTGCTTTGAATATTGATAAATTTCCTATGAAAACATTTCAGGTGCTGTCAGGAGTGAAATGCTTTATTCTAAAACCACAGAAACAGGTACGAGCTAACACGACTAATGCAGGATTTCATAATGCAGAAGCAGAGTTCAGATTTCTGGACACATTCAGACACTTCTAAAGTGCACGAAGAAGGGAAAGAGTCTGAGAAGGTCAAAACTACAGCAGGAACAATGACTTTTTTGTGACACCAACACGTTTTGGACACAGTGAGATTTGCTTATTGTGTCTCACAGGAAGCTGTTCCTTATTGTACATTTGTTGCAGGGATTTAGACATTTTAAAGTATTTCACGATGGGAAAGATTACAATATATCTTAGCTATAAATGACAAATGGATTTCTGTTGTGTCTATTGCACTGTACGTACAGACATGAAGAATAGTAATAGGTGGTGCAGAAAATGTCTTTTATCCTTTTAATCAGTATTTTAGCATTTTGTTCTTGCATTTTTAAAAAGGTACTGAAAGAGTCATTTTACTCCATTTAAAGCTGAACTGATGAATCCACCAGTGGAGGTATGAATGTATTTTGAAGGTGATATTTGGAGCAACATCTCTGTCTGAATGCTGATTTGGTTGTTTAAGAACACTAAAGTTTGTTGAGGCTGCACCAGAACTGAGAAGCTTAATTGTTCATGTTTTAGCTTTTGGTTCATATATGTCACACCTTAGTACAAGAAACCCAAACCTTATAAACACAACAGAACTGCACTATGAAGCGAGTTCAACCTATCTTTTCCTTATCTGGATTCACTTAACCTAACAATCTGGATAAGCTGTCGTAAGAAGCTGGTTACTGTCTCAGTAACTCAGCCAGAGTTGGAAGACCAGATGACCAATCACAAACTGGGAAAGGTCTACTGGCATCACTTTAACATCAAAGAGCAATTGCTGTAGAAATGATTAGAATTGCTACAATTATAGAACTGTTAAAAATAGAAGATTTTAAACTCATAATACAGACTCAAAGTAAAACAGCAGCAGCAGCTAAAGCAGAAGGGCAGATTGTGTAAAATTTAACAGGCTTATCAATATCCCGAGTAGATCCGACTATTATTACAAATGTATTTTCTGTTAAAGAACAAGTTGCTTGGATGTACTCATCTGGATGTAAGACTGTTTTATTGCCTCAGCTGCAACCCTGCAGTGTTAAACCGTCTGAAACGAGTAAAAAATGCACATAAAAACATAATTCAAAGCGACAAGTGGGCTGACTCTCCTATTGTATAGAAGGCTACGTGGAAGTCTGTGCAGCTTTATGTATTTCTAACAAAAAGAGCAAACTAAAATCATAAACCAATATGAGAAGTTTAAAATGTAATACAGGCTGAAAACAGTCACTGCTGCAGCCAAAGTCACAAAGGAAAGCTGCAATGAAATAACACTCTGTGATAAGTGTAATTAATATGCTCATCAATATCACTGTCCCTTTGTGACACAAGTTGCTTAGATGTACGTTTCTTATTCATGGCTCAAGATTCGATTTAATTTTTATCACAAAACTGTATCACAAAATGACATCTTGTCCTTTTATGCTGCTGACAGAAAGACAAATTATTTATGAAACACATAATCCAGTAATAGAACTCAAACTCGTTTCATGGTGCTGTGTCAGATGAACTCTGTAATCTCACATTAAGTCTCATTCCTTTGGCTCCCACACACTTTTAGTCTTATTCTTTCAGCTGCTTAAACAGTTTTGGGAGCGAATAAAGAACAAATCATACTTCAAAGGGATAAATAGGCTTATTGCAAATCTTTTAAGGTCAACAATCAGGCTATGAGACTGCAGTGTTTTGTTTCAGGATTATAACGCTCTACAAAAGCAGATAGAACAATAAAATGACTTTGAAATCGCTTGTAGCTCTAAAAACTTAGGCTGCCCCTCTAACTATTTGCACACTAAACTCTGCTGGATCTTCTAATGCTGATGACATTTTTCCAAGAGAACTGATTGGTCCCTAGTAGCTGCTTTTACATGCACTGCTCTCTTATCTGGAACCTAAACTGCTTCGGAGCAGGTTAGCCGTTCAGCACTAGTTACCATGGAGATGTGAAGAGCTGAACCACCACCGTCGTACCAACAACACAGAGTTAAACCTGAAGTAACTTTAAATCCTGCATCGTAGTACAAACCCCTGGACTACAAAGTTCTGTTGACCTGCTATTAAAATATGTATTTTTGTTTGTGTAAGGCTGTACGTGCCCATTGTTGGAACCACATCTTTTTTAAGCTAGCTCTACCCGCGTACAGTACTTATTGGTGTTACTTCCTACCGGGTGTGAGAAGAGCTTTGCCACAAACATCTCCGACGGCGTAGATCCCTGATCGATTGGTGTTCTGAAACTCGTCCACGATGATGTGGCCTTTTTCATCTGTATCCACACCCTGACAAACACAGAGAGAAACTGTTGTAGTTATTACAAATTAGAAAAGAAACCAACAACTTTGAACTGGCAGATGAACTTGTATTAACTTTGCTGTAATAATAATAATCATAAAGTAAATGAAGCCAGTAAACAACTGCATCTAAGACAAAGTATTATCAACAAGCAACGGTTTCGAGGAAAGACACTGTATGTTTTGGCTGTTTCCATTCTCTCCTTTACTGTACACTGTTACCTTTGAAGAAGGAGCCAGAAACTCTGTCTGCGCCAAGAAAACAACAAATGACTCATCCTAACTGTGGAGGATTAAATGTAAACCAGCATAAACGGAGCCAAGGCCTCTCCCTCCCTCAAAGTCCTCACAGGACTCACTGAACAGTGTTGGACTTGGTTTTGTGTTTTCGACAAACAGGCTAGTGGTTCAATGAGTGTTAGAACTGCTGCTTTAATAAGTCATTCATGTTCTCATACGTGTAACAGATTAGTCTGAAACCAAGAATCAGACAAGGTGGTGTTCAGTAGGTACATAGGTATTTGAACTTCACTGTCGAAGGGCCACTAACAGTCATTAAGTGAGATAATCAGCACTTGAACTCTAACCAACAACATGACATATGTTTATGACGGGCGTCTAGTCGTGTTCCCAGATTATCCCAAATCACTGGCTAAAGATGATGTCATTCCAGGTTTACTTTGAATTCTTTCCTCCCACAAAAGCTCTAAAATATGAAAGTGTTTGTCTAATATTGTGTTGATTAATGTTTGTATATGTAGTTAAAAAACAAAAATGAATAAAGTGGCCAGGATGGATGTAACACAAAGGTATACTGAGCACAGCAGAACACTAACTTCAGACGGACCGTGGTCATCAAGCTGCTGTGAGCGCATCATTACGGTTTTACTGATGAATACTGTTGAATGTGATTTAAACCTTGTCCTGCCACAAAATGACAGTCGGGACAAAAGTTTGTTCTGTCAGCAGACAGTCACCATCCAGTCTACGGTAAACATCAAAACCTGTCATGAGCAGACTGTTACCATCCCGCCGATGTTCAGTCCAGATGTGTTGGGCTGCCTGCCGATGGCCCAGAGAAGGCAGTCCACCTCCTGGATGACGCTGATCTTCTCCTCGTCGTTCTTCTTCTCTGGATCTTTGGTGACAATCGTCACCTCCAGGCCTTTGTCTGTTTTACTCACAGACTTCACCTGAGAGTTCTTCCACAAATCTATACCAGTGTTCTGCAGTTCCTTGGTGCAGTTTGTGCTTATGAAGGTGTCAAAGTTCCTCAAAACCTACAGAGAGAATATGAGAGCACACAGATGTGTTTTTGTTACTGTGTGGCTGCAATCATTGGAACAACTGAGCGTGTGGTTTGTGTTGTGGTTCTGCGTTTCCCTCTTACTCCTGTCTGTCGAATAATGAGGGATGTTTTGGACCCCAGGGTGGAAAGGATGCCTGCCATCTCCACAGCAATATATCCAGCACCAACAATCACACTGCGTCTGTCAGGAAAACAAAACTTTTCATTACAGATACAAACATTTTTCTTGGTATCTAATAAACACTGAAGTGACTGTATGAAAATCTTACTTTGGCAGGGTTTCAAGCTCAAAAAAGCCATCGCTGGTAATGCCCAGACTTGCCCCTGAAACAGTAGAAAACAAACATTATTTAACCTTCTGAACACTGAAAATCAGCCATAAACTTGAAAAGCTCCCCCCATTTCTTTTTTAAAGATGAACCACGTATCAGAGCCAGAAATGGTTAGAACAGAAAGATTCATCAGATTTTCAGCTTTCCAGTCTTCATGTCATATCATCATTAACATGTTTGACTTTCTGTTTTGTCAGGAAAATGTACTATTATTTGATTGAAACCTAAAATCACTTAATTCTACACGTCTCTTGTAAAATTTGCCAAAGAAAACAAGCCGATTGAACAAACCGGATTCAGTAAGAAAAACTAAAAATATTTACTTCTCAGCAAAACCAAGAAGACATGATTGACTGAACAGCAAGTCGCATTAAAAAAACAAAAAAATCTGATACTTCTTATCTGAACTAGGCTGAACTGCAGGTTGTGTTTACAGAGAACAATGCCAATTAAAATGGAAAACAGTAAAACATCTATAGTGTGAAGAAAACTAATTTTCCCACAACACCTGTGGACACGTGAAAAAAGTTTCATTGTTGATCCCAGATTTTTAAAGTTTTGTGATGTACATAATCAAAGAAACTGAACTTTTGTTTTTAAGATTTATGGCATTTCAACTGTATCATTCTGCACACAAGACATTTTCTCTACTTCTAGTCGTGGTTGTTCTGTTTCCATCTGTTTCCAGGCACGCGACTATTTATTGCACTAAAAATGTGAGAGCATCAAAATATAAGGGTTTGAGAGGGTTAATCAATAGATAAAATAAAACAAACTACTCGGGCACAGCAGAGCTTCACACAAAGACGACTACCTTTCCCCAAGTAAAACCTCAGCACTCTGTCTTACCAGGCACTTCATCATCACTCAGAACAGAAGGCTGCCCTCCAGTGGCAATGAGGATGTGAGGAGCTGTGTACTTCCTTCCATTGACCTCCACGGTCGGCTCGGGAGCGTCTGTAAACCTGGCATAACCTTGAACGGTTTGGATTTTAGCCTGGAATGAAGTAGACATTGTTATTTTCCCCACATTTTTTCTCTCTCTGCATTTGAAAATAACACAAACAAACCAATGAAAATCAAATCATTCTGATAAACCGATGTTGTGGCAAACACACATAACAAATAGAATGTACAATTGAATTTACCTTGTCAAGATTGTTGCGATAAATACGATTAAGGTGAGTGACGTATGCATCCCTTTTGGCCTTTAGAGTTCTGCAAACAAACACACACAAAGATTGTCCAGGCAGCCAAACCCTGTCCCGTATCTGCAAACTACACAGAGCATTGTCCGTATGCCATTCACTGAACAGAATGATTTCATAAAGAATAAATATGTATTCTCTAGGCGTGATATTTGATATCTCACTACAACATATTCCTCATATCAAACATGTGTGACTACAAAAATAGCACATCACAATACATGCTATTCTTGTTTTTTAATTGCAAGAAAATATTTCTCTTCATATTTTCATTTTAGGAAAATTGCATCACAAAAACTACTGAAATTTATCAACCTATTGCTGTAAGACTTGTAGATACAAGACAAAATAACAGACGCATATCATAATATGAAACAAGTAAACATAAGTTAAAGTTTAGTCGACAGCTTTGACATAGTTTAAGGAGCTGAAGCATGAGAGACGTCCCACAGGTAACATTTTCTGCATTACATTAATGATTTCAACTCTTTATATTTGAATATATACTATTATCAATGAGCTTTTTATTGAAATATCACCAATATTCAAATTAAAATAACTTTATTTATCCCCTAATTCAAAAATAAATGTATGTCGGTGAAATTTCATACAAGTTCATTCAAGGACACATGAAACTGCTGTTAGTTGTATTCAAGTGGTTCGTGTCCCTGAGTCAAGTTTCCTCATGCCACCCTCAGCCACTCCTTCCCCAGACTTATCTCAAACAGTCATGTTGACTTAACTATGTTGCACACAAAGACAGAAGTGGGCTAAAGTGAAGCAACAACGAAAAAAGAAGGAAAGAAGCAACAGACTGTGAAATTAATACCGCTTTGTTCCAGGAACAACTTTCAAAATAGCCTATTATAGTTGCACAAAAAAAAGAAGAAAGAAGTGAAGACGACACCAGCAGACACTGGAACTTACTCCCAACTGAAACGAACATTTCCGACATCGAAGCCGTAATCGTTGTGATCGTGAAGATACTCAGCATGAACGGCTGCATTCCACATAACCTGTTAAGAAATGTAAATGCACTGCATGAGCATCTTGAGACTGTCCAAGCAGAAATTACTTAAAACCTGCCCGGTTACTGGACGAACAGGAAGAAAATTACCTTCTTGGGGACACAGCCAACATTGACCTGAAAAACATCGAAGGAGAGCAAATTAGTTGAATGAAAGTTTGGCTGAAAAGCATCTGAGCACATGTTAAACTGTAAAGAAAGCTTTTTAGATCTACACGAAGGAGCTCTGAACATTTTTTAGTGCATTGCCGTACGTGTTGTAGCGTTGAATGAAAAAAAAAAAGTGACTTAAAAAAATCGTTTGTAGTTTGACCCAATTCAAAGCAATCAGAGCCGTGTTGTAATGAACTGAAATGTGTATGTTCAAGGTAAATATAGAAGCAAAGTGAAGTGAAAAATAAGAAAAGTATTCTGCAAATAAAAAGGAGCAAACATTGGGTTTAGCTGGTTGCTGTCTAATCCATTTTTAGATGATTTAAGTACAAAATGATGTTATAAGACTTATTCTCCTCATCCCCACCATGTGGTTTCTACATACAGTTCAGGTGAATATAATGAATGGAGCCAATCATGTCATCAGAAACAACACACAATGCAGGAAACTCAACAGTTCTGCACAAATACAAACTTCCTCAAATTGCAGAACTTGTGCACAAAAATCCAGAGCTTCCCAATTTCTTTTTTTTCTATTACATTTGTTTTTTATAAATAAAGGACAAGGTGAGGAATGTTCAATGTTCAGACTCTGGATTTCAGCTCCAGAGCTTTTAACTTCCAACAAACCCACAATGTTTGTCACACAAACACACCAACACAACAAAAAAAACTTCCACAAAAGGCGTCCGGAGGCTTCGCAGTGAGCCTGGTAGCTGCACAGGTTGACAGCGGCCTGGAAGGATGGCAGAGTTGCTGTTGTTTTTTTTTTTGATTTTGATTTTTACTCACGCAGGTACCTCCGAGTTTGTGACTCTCGATGACGGCGGTGTTCGCTCCGAGCTCCGCCGCCCTCCGAGCCCCGGCCAGACCTCCGGAGCCGCCGCCGATCACCAGAAAGTCGAAGCGGGTCGCGTCTGCTGCTGCCGCCGGGTCTGAGGCCATGCTGCGGGTCACTGCGTGTCTGCGAAAAGACGAGAAAAGTCGCTTTCTGAGGACGAGCCGGCAGGGAGCTAGTGTCCGGGTTAGCTGCGGTAATATTGCCATAACCAGGAAGCTCGCAGGCGAATGTGTCCGACTGAAAAAAAAAAAAAAAAAAAAATGGGGAATGGGAGGGTCAAGTGAAAGCCAATGCTGTGTCATTATGAATTGCAACAATGGTGTGTAAATCCCAGAAACAGTTTTCACAATAGTCATGGTGATCCTCACATGACAATAACAGCTGTAGATCAGAGCAGATGCTGCAACAAGAACCACGTGTCCAGCTCAGTTTAAGGCATTTACAGCCCCGCTGTGTGGATTAAAGTACAGAAATCCATCTTTAACCGCTCACCTTGCCAGTGACACCGACGGAAGCAGTCTGCAGGTTCTCAACAGCATGTTTTAGGACATTTCAGTCACCCACAGTTCTCCTGCTTTCTGTCCCTGTGGCCTCCCTCCCTCTCTCTCTCTGGTGTTTGGACTTGATCTCGTTAAAAGCTTCAAAGCACTTCCCGGGTCACAGGATGAGCTCACCAATAAAACAGAGCCCCTTCACACCAGCTGCTGCCATAAAACCAGCCTCTCACTATCTGTGTATCAGCGCAAATGGAGCCCTTGTGTGATTTAGTGAGAGATGCAGCCATGTTTACATTTGGTACATGATGGAGGTGAAGTCTGAAGGCGTGGAGGAGGACCAAGGAGGGGTTTGGAGGCGCTACGTTGTCTGTGTAGAAGATGTCACATCTAACGTAAGTGATCCCGGCAAATACAGGAGACCTGCGTTGCATTTTTTCAAGAATCGCACGTATACCGTGTTCAGTTTGTCAGCTGTCAAGAACAACAATATAAATGTGTATTTCCGGTTAGAACTTTCAAAATAATACTTCACTCTCGCATAGCTGGTCTTGCTGAAGAATGGTCTGGCTCCATCTTATCATCAGTCTTCTATGGGTACAAAAAAAAAATAAAAGTAGTAGGTTGTTGGTATTTCTTTAAACCGGGGTCAGCAACCTTAAACACTCAAAGAGCCATTTGGACCCGTTTCCCACAGAAAACAGAACACAAAACCCTTCTGACATCTAAAATGAAGATAACACTGCATATGTGACCCATCTGCACAAAATCAGTCACATTGTGCCTTGGGCTATAGCCGAGGTACAGTCTGAATTACCTTAAACCATGATAAAATATTGATTTTGGGTTTGTTACTTATACATTAGAGTGTAATAATGTTATGCTCTATATCGCTGTCAAATACCGTCAGGCGCAATGCGACTGATTTCTCGCAGATAGGTCACATATATTATTTTTTACTTTCATGCTATGTATAAAAAGCTACAGTGTGTTGCATTTATGAAATCAATGAACTGCTACAGAGAAAACAAAATTTTATTTCTGCATGCAAAACATTTTGAGCTCCAGAAAAAAAAGGCGCTGGGTTGAAGGTTGCTTTCAAATAAAATACTCAGGGTCTATTTGAGTCCTCCTCGTATTTATGAAATAAAAAGCCTAACTTAAATCATTCACCTGCAGCAAAGTAAAAATGCCGTCTGGTTGTCCTGCTGACTGCAGCTGGGACTGCTGACCAGACTTTGGGACGGAAGGAGCTCACGGCAGCACCGCTGCTCGCTGAGGACAGTAACTACAGAACGATTCGTGTTTTCATGTCAGAGTCTCCAACAACACCAGAAAGAGTCGCTAGATTTGTCACTAGTTGCTTTTTAATTAGACGTTTTATTTTAATGCTACAAGATCATCATAATCTTCAAATTTAGAATTCCGTTTTAAAAACTAACAAACTAAAATAAAATACATTTAAATTAAATGCTCATTATTTATTTTTCCAAAGGCACAAGGAGGTGCAGCAGAGGTATGAAAGAGCCACATGTCTTGCTGACCTCTGCTTTAAACCAATGGCAAATGTGTTGAGTGGAGCAAAACGAAGGATGCAGCTTGTTCCTGCAGTACAGTAACAGGGGGACGGTTTTGGTGGAACATTTGCACATAGGGAGGTGAAAAACTGTCATTAAAATGGTAAATTCTCCTCCTCAAAAAACTTGCAGGGCTGCCTTACAGCCTGATCCAAATCCTCAACAAACTTTCAATTTTCACTGTGGTGGCTTGCTGCTCAGAAGTTGTCCGTATAGTGAAGGAGATTTTGAAAACAGTAGCAGGTAGTCAGACTACCCTCACATTACCATGCTTCACAGCATTGTTTTGTGACTTACAGTACACCTGTCTGGACTCATTGGATGCAGGTATAGGTATAAGTTTGTCCTCCTTTTTTCATGTATCTACATGCTACCAATTTTCAAAATCCACTTCACTACAGCAACAACAACCTTTGAGCAGCAAAAATTTTAGATTGTATTTAGACTTTCTGGTGAATTAACCATTTTAATGACAGTGCCTGCATCCCTGTGTGCAAATAGTCCACCAAAACAGTCCCCATCACTGTTTTTAGGGGACACAGTTGCTGCATCCTTTGCCTTGCTCTGCCTAAAACGACTGTGGCAGGTTCAAAGCAACACAAACACACAACAGCATATTATCCCCCATATATATATGATAAGGAGGTGCTGCCAGACCATTTTGTGCTGCAGAATGGTTATGCAAGACTACAGTATGCCTAAATGGAATAAAGACTGATGTCTATGGGTGTCTTATAAGTAAAGCAAAGAATTCAACCTTTTGGCCAGTGAGATAGAATGATAGTGAAATGCACCATTAATAGACACGTCATCAATTCTTTATAATATAGTACGATCAATATTTTTACTTACATGCATTAGATGTAACCCCCCCAAGAAAGCACATAACAAAAACAGTAGGTTCAGCTGCATGAACCAGCCCCAAGCCCGCTCCCTCCCTGGATCATATACAGCCAGTTGTATCCTTTGATAAGAAGTCACTCTGTCGATCTCCACGTGGTTTCGCTGCAGGATTTCTGCAGCTGCCTGGACCTTTTACAACCTTTGTCTGTGCCTGCAGGCCCCAAAGTCAACATAAATCCTTTTATCCTTATTTTTTATTCATGTGTGTATATTTGCATGTGTGTGAGTTGATGTGTGGTTAAATTCAAATTAAATAATTTTTCTTCTGCAGGTCTTTATATAAAAATTGGAAATCAAGAATATTGCAATAGATATTGACTAAACTGAAATATTTTACTGCAACACATGTTTCAGCTACATCGCTCCACCTTTATTTTTATTCTACACAATTCATCCATCTGTCCATCTGCTGTACCTGCTTTATGCAAAAAGGCTGGAGCCTTTCCCAGCTGACGTGGAGCGAAGGGCGAGGTCCACCTCGACAGATGGGCAGGCCATCATGTGAGAGACAGACAGTCAGCAACACCTATACATTAATTAACCTGCCATACATGTCTTTGGACTCTGGCGCCCAGGGAGAGGCCATGCAGGCACAGGGACACCATGCAATTTCCACACAGAGAGGGCCAGCCCACCAGAACAGCTGAAGCCAGGACCTTGTTGGGTGAGGACAGCTGTAGCCCCCTCCAATACAATTCAGTGGCGTGGATTTCAGGTTACCAGTGTCACCAATACATCAAGGATATTGTAGTTCAGAAAAAGAGAAAGCTTTTTTTTCAAATGAAGTGCAATAAAAGAAACTCTTATCTTTTAGGTGCTCTTGTTTTGAAAGTCTCAGTTGCGGAAGTGTTTGTGTTAGCTGTAAATGCTAACGAGCAGCTAACCGAGAGCGGCTCTGTTGGCTGCGTTGACAAGCGTCAGTATCACGTCCAAAAAACGGGATTCTCATTGTAATTCATTGACTAGAAACAGCACCCAGCAGACCAGGACGCTGTTCCATAACACCACAGCCAGGTACGTGACAGGAATTCCCTCTGCTGCGGACACAAACAGCTGAAATGCGGGCCGTCGTCTCCGCGACCCCCCTGTTGTGGATTGATGGGGCCTTTTCCCTGCGTTCAAACGAAGGCAGCTCGGGGCGGCAGGGCCGAAATGCAAATGTGCATGACTGGGTTCAGTTTTAATCAGCGCTTTGTTACGTTTGGTGTGCTAACTATCCGTAGAATGGTGAACAAACAGATGCAGGCGTTAAAAATGATGTATGGGCTGTGTGCGAGGGGGAGGGGCCGAGCGGGCCTCGTCTCCAGTCAGCACTGTGTCCTGCAAAGGTTCATCCACTCATCCCACTGTTGTCCTCTGTCTTTCACAGGAAGGGAGACGCTATAAACTGTCACCTCACGGCTGCATCAGTGAGCCTGCCTCCCTGAGGAATAAGTGCTGGACATGGATGTTTACTTACCGGTATAACTGCAGCCTTTGAATCCGTGAGACCTGCTGCCAGATGACCAGGAGACCTCACCATGAAGCCTGTCAGCTATCAGAGCATGCCGTCATCTGTCAGCAGTGGACATTCAAATATGGCACTGGATCGGGTATTAGGGACTTCAAACGTGATGTATTGTGAGAAATGTGGAATTGCATCTACAGATGCGGCAGCATTCAAGAAGCATATGTTGGAGCACATGCAGACCAAGTTTTACTGCTTTTACTGCAACAACGTCTCCTTCAGTGAGGCAGAATTAGCCGCGCACCTGAAGCAGCACACTTCAAAGTATCCGTTCACGTGTCCTCACTGTGGACAGGGCTACATGAGGAGGCTCTGCCTTGTGAAGCACATTGACCGTTTGCATAGTAAAATCATCAGTCAAGGACCTGCGAAGCCTGGCATGACAAAAAGTCCACAGATCCCTGTCTCCAGTGCCTTAAGAAGTGTGCCCGCTGCTGATCCATCATTGGTTCGACCGGTCGTTCGAGTGACAGTACCCACCCCGACTGCACCTGCTGCCAGGTTTGGAAAAGATGAACAGAGAGCGAAAACACTGGACACGAATGCATCAACTGCCACTAATGGTAATGCAGAACTTTTGTCCCCTTTGAATGGACTCATTCAGCACAACAGAGCGCTAACAGTTTCTCTTCCCGAGGAGGTAACGATCCCTGCCGGCTGCTTGGTGGAACTTGTCGAGGTGAAAACTGTCAACGGGACAAAAGAGTTAAAGCTGAGGCTTAGGCAACAGGAAAACGAGTCTGTGATAAAGGACACAAGGACCGCGACCTCTCAAAACACTGCACTGGGAAAGCCCTTATCTCCCACATTTAGTCATCCGAACATGGTGTGGTCTACGAGTATGGGCATGTGCACAGTAAACAGAAAACAGAGTGAATCAAAGACAGTACATTTGGAGCATCCAGCTCCTGTCCCCGTCAGTGTTTCCAACATCCTCCCGAATCCACTGAGCAAAGAAAAGAGTGTATTGAAAAGAACATCACCAGAAATAATCAACCTGGAGTGCAACACAGGCATCCCAAACAAGGTCCCCAAAAGCATCCTCAGTCCTGTGAGAGAAGGTAACAGTGGGATCAGCGTTACACAAACGGCACCTGTCAGCCATAATGCAGCTGCTCTCACCGCTCTCTCCACCAAGATTGCCAACCGGTTGAGTACGGCACTGCATCCAGACAGCATGGCAACAAGTGTTTCTCAGAGAATGGGGGATGAGAGAAAGAATGTGATTCTAGAGCATTCAAAAAGTATCCCACTCAGGAGGGCTTGTGACACAAAAAGCATTCCTCAAAACCTGCCATTGGCTGTGAAGCTGGAACCTCGAGCGATCCACCTCAAGAGCAACACTGTTTCAAAAGCAATGAAAGAGGCAGGGTCCTTGAACCAGCAAAGTTTGAAACCGGCCTCTCCCTCTCTAAGTGTTCCAGCTGTCCAAGTGAGACCTCAAGCACTTTTGGTCGGTAAAAATAATGTTGCAAGTCAGCCTCCGATCAAAACATCTGTCCTCTTTAATCACACGAGTTCAAAGATCTCGCCTTGGTCTCAGGAAGTGAGACCCAATGAGATAGCACGGGAAGGACATGTGTCGGAACCTGAGAGTTTCCCCGTCATCTCTTCTGTGTTTTCACTGAGTCAACAGCCAGAGGAAGTCCAAGGTTCCATTCAGCCACTGGTAATGGCTCTGCGTGGCATAGTGATGGATAAAAGGAGCAGCTCTGGCAGCAAAACTCAAGATCACATTAAGATAACGAACAGCACAGAGCAAGTGAACGCAGCTCCAACGTCAGGGCACTATGCTCAGGTCGCCACAAAAAATGGTTCCTTCACTCGTGACTTGGTATTGACAGGGAAGACGAGCGAGTCTGTAAAAGTAGAAGAGCATGATAAGGTCGTTCACCATCCTCCTGCACTGACCAATAACCACATCTTTGTCAAGGAGGAAAAAAATAGCACTGCACAAACAGACACTAAGCAAATCAGTCACATGTCTGCATCCAAATCCTCAATAGATGAAGAGTCTAAAACTGTCCCACATGTAGAGGAATCTGAGACTGCCAAAAGTGAGCATGACATCTCCTCAAAGTTCCTGACTGTCTCCCTGAAAAGGGTCCAAGTAGGTGTGTGGAAAAAAAGCAAGAAGGGACTGAAACTTAGAATATCTAAATATAAGACTGACGTCCCTGTGGCCAGTCTGACCGACTGTACAGTGATTTACCCGATGCCGTTGAAGGTGGACCAACTGGTGAAACGTCCGGGTCCGTACCAGCCGGTGGTGGTGCTCAATCATCCAAAGCCCCGGGTCTCTGTGCAGGGAACAAGAGCAGACACTTTTGCAGACACAGGAGCCTCTCAAGTGGTTCCAAAGTGCCAAATCTTAAAAATGAGGCTGAGCAAAGTGATGGGCCAAAAGTACGAGGTGATGGGGTGCACTGTTAGAGTGTTCCCATGAATGTGTCGCACAGAAGTGTCCATTTATGGGGAAATAAGTAGTATTACGGTGAAAAGATGTTAACTTCTAAAACTGATAAAATATTAAGCCAATTATTTTCTTTATGGGAGAATAGAATTAAAAAAAAAATGGACATCTAAGAAACACTTAACATTGTCTTATATGTATTATACGGAATATTAAAGTGCAATGTTTGACTGCTTTTACTCATGGAACATGAACTTTCCGCCGATGTAGATTGCTGTCAGTAATGCACAGATGTTAAATACTGTTTCAGAAGTTTGAGAAACCAGTAGATCTGTCAAAGTCATTATTTGCATGCTGTTTATTTAAAAAAAAAAGGATCCCTTTTTATTTATTTGTTTTGCTTGCATCGCTAGTATTGCGATTGTTCATCTGACATGTCTTTGCTGCAGCCTGAAACCGGTGCAGTACAACAGGAAGTGATGGGTGTTAATGGAAGATTAGCAATGGCATTTTTGTATGATGTCATTTCCTGTGGGTCAAAACTCACAGGCAGCGTTTAGTGAAAATATGGTGTTATCAAGTAATAGTCCAGATGAACAGAAAAGTTTGATTTCAACACAACAAAAAAGTGCATTTCCAGTCGTCACGTGTGAGAAAGCGTTTTGCATCTTTTACATTGTCCCCATTTAATCACGTATTCTTAGATGGCTTGTTGTACAGACACCACAAAGTCAACATTTCAGCTCTTATAACCGTCCAAAAGGTCTGTCCAGTTTCAAAAGCTTCTCTAAATTCGACCTGAAAAACCATAGTTTCATGGAGATCACAACCTTTCATCTGTCGTTCTGCCACCAGTTTTGTAGAGGTGCATTCAGGCACTCTTTGTAAACTCTTGCATTTGGAGAAAAATGACAAGTCAGCACACACTGTTGAGTTAATTCAATGGAATTGATGAATGAAAAAGTCCCATCAAGGTGTAAATAATGGGATTTGGACATACGCTGCACTGTGTGCTCCTGTTTGGATATGTTATGAACCACAGAGTTTGCCAGTTGTACATAAACACATGTTAAACTTGGGTTTTATGGAACATGTCTCAGTTTCCCACCTTGCTCGACATTTTGGTGAGAACTTGAATGTTTTGGACTTGTTGATGAAGGGGTGAATGAATGCACCGCAAGTTTTTAATCCTGTAAGGCCAGAGCTAAAGGCTCGGTGTTGTGCATTTTTGTTTTATTGTCTCAACATTTTTTGTAGTCTTTTTTTTTTTAGGTCTCTAAACTATAATGTGTAAATAGTTACAGATTTTTGGTCTTATTTATTTGACTTTACACTTCTGTTTTTTTTTTAGTTATTTTGGGATTTTCCTCCTTGTGTCTATCTGCCTTCTCTTGAGGTGTACAGTTCCAGCCCCATCGAAGTGGAGTCGACAAAAGCAACCCAGATTGGTTCATTACTGTAATAGAGACAAAAGCCATGTACCGTGGTTTGTTTTTTTGTTTAAAGAACTTTCCTGCCATGAAGATACTCAATGTCTGTGTATTTCCTGTGCAGTTAAAACCTGATGTAATTTTTTTTTTTTTTTGAAAGACTTAAACATAAGCAGTCTTCTTTCCTGACACTTTGCAGATCTGTTTCTCTTTTTTCAGAAGCATTATGAAACCTGTGTGTTCTTGTTTATACTATAATCATGATGGTTGAGGTGCTAGACCTATGATTATACTTATAGGTTTTGGTTGCCCCCAGTTTTTAATTATGTATGTATGCTTTGTTTGTGCTCAGATTTTATTGTGTACATACTTGTAAATATAAAATGTGGTGTTCATACTCAGTAGAAAACGGCCTCTTCCGCCCCCACACTTCAACCGTGCTTTACTTTCCTTGAACTGCAGTGTCGAAAGCTGCTGTGCAGGCTTTGTTATATATCATTACTTTAAAGTTCTTTGACAATCCGTTTTGATTGTTTGACTTTGTTTTTAATTCAAGACTCATCCGTGTGAGAACCAGTCCATGTTCCAGTTAAAAGTGTTTTGGTTTTATTACATTCTCAGTGTTCATATCATTGTGACTCATGCTTTTATAATGAAAATTGTGTAACTCCTCTTTTTTCTATTAAAAACAAGGTAAATATGATCACACTTCTGATGGCCTGTTCCCTTTTATTCAGCACAATTGCATTACACAAAGTTTTCAAGATTATTATCAATCCTGTCTCACACTAAGTCCGTACTGTGAGGATCTGAAACCCTACTGCATGACGACATCTGTATAATGAAACAGCACAGGTATTCCTAACAATATTAATGAAAGAGTCTTTACCATTGTGTACAGTATCAGCATAACAACATAAATGGACTCAAGCAAATAACATGGCAAAATATCTTGAAGGGAAAAGGCCGACTGTTTGTCACAGCAGATTGCAAAGATGATCTGAGCCTGATTACACTTTAATGGATTATTAAGGCTAATAATTAATATACTCATTATAATTTTAATACTTGTATTATAAACCATGGTATTGTTACTTCAGTGAATTATAATTACGCACATCTCTGATGGTTGTTCGGTCGACATTTTAAGCACCTTAGGCGGCTTGTTGGTATCCACGGCAACTAATTAACTAATTACAGTTGCTACTCGCTAACAGATAAGCTAACAAACCTGTTGATGGGAATTTGCTAACTTATGGGATTCATTCACAGTCAGTCTAACTTCTGCCTTTGTCTACACTATTTTATATCTGTAAGTAGCGCATAAGAAAAATTCAGCTTCTTTTAATCATAAATCCGATTTCTTGTCAACACATCTGACAGCTAGCTCATGTGCTAGCTAGCCTTATAAAGTAAAGTAAGTACAAAAGGTTAAAACTAATTTCTGCCAAAAAAAGGAAAAAAAGAGAATAGTCTGTTCCCCTAAAAAAATCTATTATCATGCTGTCTATCTGATCATTTTGATTTCGGTAGCCAGAATTGATTTAGTTGGCCAAAGTATTTAAGGGTAGATTTTTAAAATGTTTTAAGTAACTGATATCAGCATGGAACTTCTCCAGGTAATTACTTACAAGACTTATGTTTAAATATGAAAATAAGGTATTATGCATCTAAAACGGTCTAATGTGCAATATTTTTTATTTGATAAAACCATCTGCAGTTTATTTTACTTTTAAGTTTCATTTTCTAAACTAAACTAAATGTTAGTGACAAGTGTTTTTACAGAGAGGGTTTGGGATATCTCTTTTCATCACTCCAAAAATCAGAATTTATACAACCTTTGTGTAAACCTTAACACTATAGATAGGAATAAAACTGGAAAGTTTTGTGTATCTACTACTGAAGTGGAGATTTTTTGGCGCAAAGAAGGAAAAAGTGATTTTGTGGACATTACCTTAAAAGGGCTGTATTGAAAAATTCTATACACTTAAAAGAAAAAAAAAACTTACACAGCAACTTGGTCTTGAAGAAATAATGATGGACATTATTAGTATTTTCTTGACATTTTTGAGTCTAAACAGTTAATTAAAAATAGTTGAATTGCTTACAGTTAACCAACCAAAATAATTGTTAGCTATGAATGAAATTCACTTTTGACCACACAGTTGTATACAATGTGTTTTTTTTTTCTTTTTCCCAGTTGACTCAAAATGATGATACGCCTTTAGTCGATGCTTGGGTTTCATAGCTACACAGCAGGATGTGAGGAACCATGTGGGATTTAACACATTTTCTTTGAAAAGATGTGGAAAGGTGCACATGTAATTTGTTATCGTAGCAGCTGGTCAACATCCCTTTTCGTTACTGGAAATGTCAGCACACAGTTTTCTGGGTATTTGTTTCCAGGCATGTTTCTCCCGCTGACCAGTATTATTGGAAATATGGAGTGGAACTTGACGATGTCTGCCACAGAGTCAAACATCTGGGGATAAACAACACAGGAGTTACAGTAAATATAATGCTGGGGACGGTACTTGTTGTACTGTCTTTTAGAATTTGTCCACTTACATCATTTGAGCGTTGTCCTGTTCCCAGTGCGTACTTGTTGATGCACTCGATGAACCGAATCTTCACATTGTAAACCTTCTTGTCATAATACACAACCAGTACCAAGGGTTCACTGTCGGTGTTGATGGAGCAGTCACGCACCAAAAATGCTCCATCCTGATATCGGGAATGACAAAAACAAGACATGTTTAAAAGTATACCTTTGTTAGTTTGTGCGCTCTCAGTCAATACTTTGGTTTTTGTAGGTTACACAAATGAGCGATGGCATGTTTGCTGGTGTTCTTGAGAGGTGGTGGTAGGTAGATTTTGTGTCTTTCAAAAAGTGCCACGCTAGTTGTTTGATTGCACTTAAGCACAAAAGTGAATGTTTGTGTTTTCCAAAATGTCCACACAGGCTTTACACATTCGTAGGTACATTTGAATTCATTTTATAGTGCGATACCTTGTTCACCAGGTGTAAGGCGTGCTCGGCATCTGCTCGATTACAAGCCCCAACATACCAGTCTTCTTCACAGTAGGTCTGCCAATAAATTTCAGCAATGAGTGATGTTACAATTACGACTGCACTTAATGTCATGTTGAGACTGGACAGACATCATTCTTCATTTTACGACCGGGTTTGATTGCTTGTGCAGCAGCACCGTTACCTGTTGAGGCTTTTCCATTGGAACAAAGTCATGCTGGTCAAAGTCTTCTTTAGTTTGAGGCCACTCATGGTGATGGCGTTTGGATGGCACCCTTTCTTTAAATAGATGTTAAGGTTGATTTACAGTTGAAACCAGAAGTTTACATACACTGTATAAAAAGACATATCACCTTTTTTTTTTTTCTCACTCTGACACTAAATCAGACTAAACTGTTCCTGTTTATGGTCAGTCAGGATTACCAAAATTACTTCTATTTGCTAAACGGCAGAATAATGAGAGAGAGGATTTTTTTTACTACTTTCTTCAAAGTCAGGGGTTTACATACACTAAGATTACGAGCCCTGTAAACTGTTTAGGAAAGCCCAGATGATGATGATGATGTTATGACTTTGGAAGCTTTTGATAGGTTAATTGACACCATTTGAGTTAGTTGGAGGAAAACCTGTGGATGTATTTTAAGGCACACCTCAAACAAACTGCTTCCTTTCGTGACAACGTGGGAAAATCTAAAGAAATCAGCCAAGCTATCAGGAAGACAATTGTGGACCTCCACAAGTCTGGTTCATCCTTGGGTACAATTTCCAGATGCATAAGGTTCCACGTTCATCTGTTCAAGCAGTTATACACAAGTATAAGCACCATGGGAATGTCCAATCATCATCCCGCTCAGGAAGGAGACAGGTTCTGTGTCCCAGAGATGAAGTGTTTCGGTAAAAAATGTGCGTATCAACCTCAGAAAGCAAAAGACCTTGTGAAGATGCTGCTGAAGCTGGTCAGAGAGTCATTATCCACAGTAAAACGAGTCCTGTACCGACATGGGCTGAAAGGATACTCAGAGAGGAAGAAGACATTACACCAAAAGCAACATGAAAAAAACAGGTTACAGTTTGCAAATGCTCACAGGGACAAAGACATTAGTCACTGGAGACATGTCCTGTGGTCTGATGAAACTAAAATTAAACTGTTTGGCCATAATGACCATCGTTACATTTGTAGGAAAATGGGGGAAGCTTGCAAACCTGAGAACACCATCCCAACTGTGAAGCACGGGGGTGGCAGCATCATGTTTTGGGGGAGTTTTGCTGCAGGAGGGACTGGTGCACTTCACAACATAGATGGAAGCATTTGTGGTGGGATTTTAAACTGAACAAATGATGAAAAACTGGAAAAAATTATGATTAAATTAGACTTGTGTATAAGGTGGATTAATCGTGTGCAAGCCTGCGTAAAACACAACCCATAAAAACGTACAAAATACAGCAAGTAGAACAGAGAAAGATTGTCTGACACTAGAGCCTGAAAGGGCATGTGGGAGGCCTGTGTGCTCTTGTCTGAAAAACTTGGGCCTGCAAGTTTGTGTGAGGCTTTTATGTGTGCTTGTGGGTCATCGTGACCTGGCAAGTTAAACCGCAAACCTCAGCGAAATTTGAAGAAGTTGGCACAAGAATGGGTGCAGGTGCAGAGCGAGCAACAGTGGCGTACGTGCTCTGGGAGGGATGGGCGTGGTCCTTTGTGGGTGAACAAAGTATTGTTTGAGACAGGCGCAAGGCCAGTGATAGCATTTTTTAGAAAGGGGGGTGGTAATCGACACGGTGCCATGACTAGATCACACCCCGTCAGATGTGAATGAATTCAAACATAATGCTGGCAGAGATGTTTTGAGTGGTCATTATGAAAAATAATGGGTTGTGTTTTCACAGGAGACGGGGGAGAATTTGAGAAATCGTAAAAGTATCTCAGAAGTTGTAATACATTTGTTAGTCAGTTAAATCTCAGGATTTGCTCATGTTTCTTCTTGCAACCTCTGTACTGAATAATCATTCTTCACCTCAGACTCCGAGATCTGTTTGAAGACTTTTTCCTTGAGAACTTCTGATGACACCAATAGCTGATTTAGAAGAGATTTTTTGACTGAAAGCTGGGCGAGGCTGCTTGACCTTCACTGGCCACAGACAGCAGACCGACTCACAACGCATGAGAAAAGAAGATTATGTGGAAATATAGAAGCAACATCTCAAGACATCAGCCAGGAAGCTAAAGTTTGGGTGCAAATGGGTTTTCCAAATGGACAATGACCCTAAGTATACCGCCAAATTAGTTACAAAGTGGCTTCAGGACAACAAAGTCAATGTTTTGGAGTGGCCATCATAAAGCTCTGATCTCAGTCCTGTAGAAAATTTGTGGGCAGAGCTGAAAAGGTGTGTGGAGCAAGGTGTCCAACAAACCAGACTCAGTTCCACCAGTTCTGTCAGGAGGAGTGGACCATAATTCATCAAACTATTGTGAGAAGCAGTTTGAAGGCAACACTACCAAATACGAAGGAAATGTATGTAAACTTCTGACTGTGAAGAAAGTAATAAAACATAAAAAATAAATAAATAATCTCTCTCATTATTCTGGCATTTAGCAAATAGAAATAATTTTGGTAATCCTAACTGACCTAAAACAGGAAAAGTTGAGTCACATTTAATGTCAGACGGTGAGAAAAAAAAGGTGATATGTCACTTTATACAGGGTATGTAAATGTCTGGTTTCAACTGTAGCTGTAATTAATAATTAGTAGCTGTATAATGATGATGATGATCTCTAACACACTTACCTAGACTTTGATGTGATCTAAATAAAGGGAGAAAAGCACATGTAAATCAAATGTGATGTTACATGACATAAGTGTCCTGAAATGACTTAGAAATGAAAGCCGAACCTTCTTTCCATGTTAAAACTCTCCAAATCCCAGGAACGTCTTTGAAGGGTGTCGGGGGCTGAAACACTTTCAGGACTATTTGGACCTGAAAACACATCAAAAATGAACACAACAGCCGAGAAGTTGTGACTCAAAAATGATGCATTCATTATTTATTTTATTTTTTAAACTTTTACTTGTATTACTTTTGTCTTACCTTTGGCATATGAATTGAATTGTGCCTATTGGAAGCATAAAGAAAAATCAAAATTAAATACCAAGATAACGCCAATTCGTTTCCAGTCAAGTTCATTTGTGTCAAATAAAACCTAAGTTAGGAAATTATAATAAAAATATCACTTCCAAAAGCACTGATTAGTTATATGTTTGGAAAACATATTGCAACTTATTGCAAGCAGGCATGTTTTTCAGGGTTACAGCATCACAACAGCATTATTATTAGACATGGTCGAAACAAAAAATCGTTCAATTATGTAGTAAATTTGCACACTTACTTGCTTGGCTGTCCTTTGTGGTCTGCTGAAGTTAAAAAAATAATTAAATAAATTGAATACATTACAACTTGGACTTGAGGAAATAATGGTAAATAATGGACATTATCAGTTTTTTTTAAAATATATTTTTTAGTCTAAACAAATTAATTGAAAATAGTATAACTGCTAACAGTTCGTCATATTATCAAAATAATTGTTAGCTATAAATGCAACATATCTACATTACAAAAAGCTGCAAGCCGTTACTGTGATCAGCAGATGGTGCCACTGTTACACTATACAAACTGTTGTGTACAGTCACATAGGGTCAGTAAGCTACAGCACATGAAAACAAAAGGCCCGCTACCAGTAGCATACAGTGACAATGGGGTAAGGAATGGAACAGTAAAACAGCACTCACTCTCTCCTGCAGGGTTTGTTTAGAGTCATTCCAGCCCAGTGATTGACCAACTCCATGGTTAAGGCTGAAGGTGATGGAGGGCTCCTGGAGGAACAAGATTCAAGCCGTAAGTCTATTCATAACCCATTTAAACCCAACAGATTAGGATAACTTGAATAGTAAATTACCTGTGGGAGTGCTGTGACATCAGACAGGGAGAAAAAAATCATCACATTTTAAATTAATTGCAATCATCACAATTTATAGTGTCAAAAGAAAGTCATCAATACACCAAGCGGTGTGTGGCACTGGTGTCTTACCTGGTGTGGCACAGGGGGCAACTTCTTATCTGGAAATTCAACATGAGAATATGTGGGATGCTATTTTAACCACAGAAAGACAAAGTGTTTTCAGTTATTCAGTTGTGTTACCTAATTTGGTCCTTTGTCTGCCAGGCTTCGAGTTTCTATTGATAGCAGGCCCTGAGAACACAAAGATAGAAAGCAATCGTTTATTGACAGCAAAGTGCAGTTTTGAATGATTGGTTCCCAAGGCTGCTGATCTCAGGAACTGTGATGCCAATAATTAAGGATGGCCTGATCGAGTTTTTTTTTTTTTTTGCTCCTGATCCAATCTGAGTAATTTAATATTAAGTATCTGCTGATATCCGATACCATTTGACACATTTAAAGTATCGGCGATTAGTTGTAGTACCTGATCGCACCACCAGGTGGATCCTCTAAGTGACCTGAGGAGGTGGACACTTTTGTTTTTGCAAGAAGAAATCACTGTAGGGGTTTAGGTCGTAAAGGAGCACCATGACAATGTCTCCTATGAGGCTTAATGACCTCTGGCCAGTGCACATGTATTTAATCACTTCAGGATCAATTAGGTCATCGTTCTGTGTTTCAGGGTCAAATATAGCAGCTATTATCACAGTCTGTATCATGTGTCTGTTACTGTGGCAGCAATATAAGCACATGACCTGCAAGAACTGTGCTGAATCTATATGATCAATTATTTGGGTATTGACTGATATTGCTACACACAGAGTATTGTGTGACAGCAGACAGCGAGCAGTTAAAAATGCTTCTATACCTGCCCAGATTCCAATCTAAGGATTGCTACCTAACAAATCTTATATTCAATATTAACTTCTCTTTTAATTCTTCTTTGATCTTTAACAACAACTTAAAAAAAAAAAAAACAGTGTCTTTAACTGGTAGTTGCTTGACTATGTGCACCAGTGAGTTGCTAACTGAAATGTTTGCCCTCACAGCGTGCACTGGGTTGATCATAAGGGGACTTTCCACTGCAGCAGCTCAAGGCAGGCGTGATGTGGCATGACTGTTCAAAGGAACGGCCCTTCCAATCGGCCCTTTCAGGCTTTCTGTTTCTAAAATTAAACCTTCTCCTAAATGTGCTGTAAATCACTGGGCTAAAAGACTAGAATCTCTGAAAAGGTGGATGATAATTCAGTGTTTCAGCGCTATGAGCAATCCTTTCATGTTCTACACAGGCATTAATGTCAACTCTAGAATAATCCTGGTGACCTTACGTAACTTCTGCTGAGCAGCAGCCTATAGACAAATAGAGAAAAGTCATATAGTCACAGAACTGACTCATTAATATCTTTCTCAAGTTCGCTACCAGCAGCTCATATCTGCACCCGTATACCAGGTCAAGTAACTCTGTAGCAGCAATGCCTCTGAGTCTATTGAATGAAAAGAAGCTGTGTGCTTATGGATTTAGCATGTTATTATTATTATTAGTATTATTTTTGAATGCTACACATTTGATCTTGACTTGAATTTCTCCCGCTACTACTTTCACAAGCCTTCACCACAATAATCAAACGTCACGTTTACCTGTAGTATGTGAGGTTTCTCTGAGTGGACGTCTGGGAAGGATGTCAGAATTAACCTGATCGATTGGAGAGCAGAGTGAAGAATAGAGTACAAGCAGCACAGTGGTTCGGTTGAAATGGTACATTCATTAAAGAACAACAAAAAAGAAACCTTACAGTGGCGAGTGATGAAAGGCTCTGAGCAGATGATGACCTTGGAAGATCCCTGTCTTGAAAGCAAAAGAAACTGTGATCGCCACACTTTCATCAGTGACAGTAATGACAATAGTTCCACTGTTAGTTGACACTTTAAACACTCTTTGAGTTTGTATCATTCTTGTAACTCGGTCGATGCCAGTCCCAGTAGTGCACCGCAGCAGCAGACTGTATTGATTAGAAGGGAGAATACTCCAAGTGTGAACAAATTTAAAACCCACATTCAGTATAAAGTTGTAGACATGCAGCTGTGAGGCCCCTGGCTGTGGGCCACATTCATGCAGTAGAGTAAAGGGAGTCTGTTCACACTACATGCTTCCCTCTCTTCCCCTTCGGCTCCTGGATAATTGTAATCTCCCGCAGTCTGACTCAGCCAACAGATGGCCCTGGAGACCCACTGGCAGATCATGCTCAATCAGCATGAGCTCCCTCTCAGATCCATGCTGCTTTCATTCTCACCACAGTTTGTGGTGGAGCTGTTTTTTTGCCTGCACTTCATTCAGTTTCGTTCTAATTATATTCACTGGAGCTTTTCTGTGTAGGAAAGTGAAACATATTCAGCCTCATTGTGTCAGCTCAAGTGCAAACACTACTTTAAGTTGAAGTTTGGACAAGTTTGGGACTTAACAGTTAAGTCTTATGGTTTTGTATGTAGGGAACTGCAGTCTGCTTAAGAACCTATTAATTTTATGTAATTTATTTCTATGCATTTAGGAAATAATGAGAATTAGAAGAGGTGGGTTTACGTGCATCAGAGGACAACCACTCCTACAGATGGACAGAATTACTCACAAGTCTCAGCCCACTGAGGGCTAAAACTAAACCTCTGTTGATTTGCACATACAAAATAAAGAGCATTTTCGAGGTATGTCCTTTTTTTTTACAGTCAGTTCTAAATGTATTTTTCACTAATTTAATCATTTAAAAATGAAGTTAGACTTTAATACTAGGTACTAAAAGTCTAAATACCCTAAGCAGTCAATGAAATAAGACTGAGAGACTACATGAGCGAATGAAAAATGTTTGTCATAGTTTTTTGTTTTTTTTCTCTACCTGCATACTCTCTCTCATCATTTATCGGCCTGGCAGGAAATATGTGCACCCTGTGCACTCCCTCGTGGTCGTCCACCACGTCGTACTCGGGCTCCACTACGTTGTTGTAGTTACCACATCTTTGAGTTCTGCTCGTCTCTGCCCTGCTGCGATTCTGTGAAGACAAAATTGCAGCTCCTTTATACTATATGTACAATAAACAAGGGAATCAGTAAACCCTGTACTTATCAGCCCTGCTTCTTCTTGCTTTTACATCAGCCAATATGTAGTCATACATTCTGAGCGTACAGGTAGTGTTAGATTCTACATGCATGTACAGCGCTGGTAAGTACAGGAAGCTATTTTTGGGTGTTGCGACATAAAGTTTTTCATGTCTCGCACAGATTTCCTTTTTCAAACTTCACACGTTACATTCACGGACGCCATGAAACACATATATTTATAGTCAGCCTCGGAAAAAAGTAACAGTAATTGACACCGTGTTAAATAGCAAGCATTTATCACTGAATTGGAAGCATATGACGCACAGTGTATTGTGACTATTTGTGGAGTTTTTGTGCACCTGTGGCATTGCTGGAAAAAATGGGCGCTCTTAGGATGAATACCTTATCAGTGGGTGCTTTAATCATGCCCAATCAAACCAGCTTCTCTCATTCAGTTTAAAAGCTGTGTGCTCCACAACAGAACTGGCTTGATTGTAATGAGGAGGAATGTCCAGATTGACGTTTGTTTTCCAGCAGGTGCCATGGAGTTACTCGGCCCTGTACGCAGCACCCAACCTGAATGCTGCACCCCAGGAGGGAAATATCCTGCATCCTGAGAGTGTAGTTTAGCCATATGCTTGGCTGTGTATGTGAGGAATTATCTGTTATTTCCATTTGTAACTAAAGCACTATTTATCATTCAGAGGAAGTTATGGGGGATTTTTAAAACATTTTTTCCTGCAAAACACGATTAGACAAAATTGTACAACAAACCCTCTAAAGCTGAGCAAAGATTACGTTGCCTCACTGAAATTTAATTGCCTGAAAATGATTTTCAATATCTGTTTTAATCAGCTCTAACTAGTCAAAAACATAATTGTGAAATCATCAATCTCACAAAAAAAAAACCAACAATTTTGAGTTATGTAGCTTTTTTTTCTTTTAGTTTAGTTTTGTTACATATTTTTGTTGTTTGGCACTTTGTTGAATTTTTGTACTTTCTGACAGATCAATTAACTCAAACTCAAAAATTTGACTAAAGCCTGGGCAGCTGCCATTTAACATGGCTGTAGGGAATAATTCTTGTATCTTACTAATAGATATTAAAGACTGGTTTAAAACCCGAGTTTAGGTCAGTATAGTCGCTCCTTTTACTAAGAATTAAGTGGACTGAAAAAACAAACAAACAAACAAAAAAAACAGACATTTGATTTTGGACAATAAATCTGACCTTAAGCTAATACCTGACAAAACAAATTATGCATAAAGTGTACATTATCTCAGCATCTCATTGTTTACAGTAAAAAAAAAAAAAAAATATATATATATATTAAAACTGTCTAAGAAGGACCTTTTACGGCCTCAAATCACAGATGTAGAAGAAATGTCTTCGTCCGTGGTAGCAGCTTAGACAAATACACTGAACTCAGGTCAGTAACAGTGACTGTAACGCTCCTTCAAATAGACATGAACATTTACCAACATAATCAGTTGATATGAATTTAAGAGATGATTACTGTATACATTAGTAAGATGAAGTTTAATATTTCACAATTTGATTTCAGAATGAATATTAATGCAACCAAAAACAACAGCAAATTACCGTAAAAACTCAGAGAAGATTTCTCGTCTGCTCTGTGCCGTTTTCACCGTGCACTAACAATGACAGAGCAGAATCTCACTCTTGACTCATTTCTGTGCTAAAAGGTAATTACACAGGGGGCTGCAGACTCCCAAAGTTTCCCGCGGGAACATTCATGTGGAACCAGCGGGGAAACGCTGTGGATACGAGCGCCATAACTCACCATTATCACAGCAGACTCATGGCTGTTCCCTCTCTCTGCAGCTAACGAGGGGGCGAAACAAAAATGAAAAACATCATTAGTTTGGTGTTCTGTGAAAGAATGTGGCCTTCCAATACAGTTTGTCCTTGGACTTTTCTATCTGAGAGTAACACATGCAGGAGAACGAGATCTTTATGTCCAACAAGACAGAGCTGTTTGTGTCCTCCTGCTGTATTCTCACTCTGTTTCTTTGTGGTCTGCATAATTTTATTTTAGCCATCAGCAAAAAAAAAAGTATCTCAATTTGTTTTTAATATATAGATATATACATATTTTAAATATTGAACACATTATTGTATTTTTAGCATAAGCACCTGGCTTCAAACACACAGCCTGATGTTGTAGAAACATATGAATGAAAAAAAAACGTGCGTTTAACCTTTACTACATCCCACTGAGCCTCCAGGATTAGTCAGTCATTCTAATGCGATTACATTTAGGTCTCTATATTAAGAAGAACTGCTTCTTAGTAAAATCTGAATTTAGGTAAACCCTATAACAACAACAAAAGAAAATCCTGTATGCATTACGTGTACCTGCTGCCGTTCTCCTTTGCTTGACTCGCAATCCAGCTTTCGGTTGAACAACTAATTAATATACTTGCATTCGACAACCTTAAAAACAAATAATTAAGTGTTACATCAGTTCTACTCTGCTAGTGGTGAAGAACATCACCAAAGTTGGAATAAATGGCTTGTCTTTTGTGGTGCTGATTTCAATCTTTTTAAATAAATATGAGTTTATATGCAGATTTATTCATAATTCAGGGCTTAACGTGAGATTGGGTAACTTTTGAAGGCGGATATAACACATCGTTGGTCAGATCAGGAAACTCGGTGGTTTTGCCATTTTACAGTCTTACTTTGTCTGCTATAAACAGCTGCTTTTGCTGGCTAAAGTAACCAAACGTCAGAGAGATGTATAACTTAAATTACTGAATCAGGTCACTGGCTTTATGACTCTTCTCTGCTTGTGGTCACAGGATGCTGTTCGGACAGCAGCAAGTCTCGTGTCATGTGTTCAACCCACATTGGATCCATTAATATCAGACGGCTGGACACTGCTCAAACCTGCATCACTGTCATTCACATTAGACACCGGTCCAGCCTGTGCATACATCATTGTCAAGTCAGGCTGTCAAACTTCCATAAAACCAGACATTGGTTATAGTCTGAGGAATGAACATGGCAGGTAGTCGACAATGTGGAGCTGCTCCAGGCACTTATCAATGTTTTAAGCGGCTTTGTCTCCCAAAAATGAAGTTCCTACACAACGAGACATACTCAGTTACATTTTGAAGAAAATGTATTTTCTATTGGTTTATGTTTGCTTGCGATCAGTCACAAATATGTTTCAAATTAACATATCTTTTCCATTTATTCCATTTACTGTCACTATTGATCAGTCAACTAATCATACACTAGACAGGACTCATCACACTGGTTGCACAGAGCTTCAAACACGTGTAAAAGGGTTTTATTTAAACCCAAATTATCCTTTTTTCCTAACCTTAACTGTGTCGTTGTTTTTGCTTAAACCTAACCAATCTTCTAACATGTAGTTGTTAATAGTGTCAACCAAATCATGATATTTTCCTAAATCTAATCACGTAGTTTTGGTGCCTAGACCTCACCGAACAGTGGGTGAAAACTACATTTATAAACAAAATTTAAATCTGAGAAGTACAAGAACACTAATTCCAGGTACCTATAATTTATTCTGATTATTCAAAGCAATAGTTACGGCTATCTGTAATTCAGTTTTGACAAGTCAGGATAATAGTAAAGCAAAGTATTTGAGGCATTGGTAGCAGCAGTAGTAGCCCCTGCTGTGGTGGATATTGTTGCCATGCAATAGAAAGTTTGTGGAGAACAAAAGCTTTGTTCATTCAAAAGTTGTGGTTGAAATTAACTGGCAGGCTGCTCTGACAAGGTGTTAAAATAGCTTGTCACATATAGTGCAGTGCCAAAAATGTGTTGAAGTACAAATGTGTTTGAAAAGCAAGCCACTTGCCATAGTTTCTACATTATTATAGATCTGCAATGTCAGTTTGCTTACAGTCAAAACTGTAATTCACAGTATCGGTAAATACATTTTGACGAGGCAGAATTCTCGTTCAAGATATCTACATCAAATTACATTTTTACATATAATCAAAGATATTTCAAAAGGCCAATGTAGCTATCTTAAATTGAAGGGAATTAAAGATACCCCGAATAGTCGCAAATAAACTGTAGTTATCTGAAACTTAAATTACTCAAAATTCAACTGTAGCTCAATTGTTTTGTTTTTTTTTTTAACTGGAAGCCATTCCTGCCACATCACAGTCTTACTTTTCGGAGGGATAATTTTTTTCAAAAAGTAAATTAGAATGAAGTTTAGTTTTTTGTTAAAGACACGCACCTCTCAACACGACCTATGAAATTCCTAAGCCGCAAGAAACGTCTAAAAACGGTCCAAACCTTGTCAGATAGAAGGACAGTCTGTCTTCATGGATCAGTAGATACACAGAATCTACTGATCCCTGAATAGGGTCACAGTTTCTCAAACATCAGCTAAATAGTGACACAAAGAGTGATCATTTAATAAGATTTATTTTATTTTTTCTGATATGTACAGTCAAGTGTCATCAGCATATAATAAAAAAATAATGTTGTGCTGGTTAATAATGAGGCCAACAGGGAACATATAACACAGAATATTGCTTAAAAACAAGGTGCAATCAGTACCCTAGCAGTAGCAGTGCCCTAGTAATATTCTGATTCAAATTTGACTGCACACCATTTTAAAGCACAAAGCCTCACCATTCAGCGACTTAAGTCTTTTAAAAATGCCAACATCGAGCAACAACAGTTTTTAACATATATATATATGCTGCACTTGTCTATAAGCCGCAGGTGTCCACGTTGTAACATGAGATATTTACACAGAAAGATTTTTTTAAAAAACTTTGAATTAAATACGTACCGGTAACATACACAAATACGTACCGTAAATGCTTTTTTCTGAACAGTGCCTGTAACATAGCTGGTTAAACAAATAAAAAATAAAGTAGCCTACCAGGAAAACCCATTGATTGCTATCCTGTTCCTCCACCTCAGAATTACTTCGTCACACACTTCCTCAGTCTCTCTTTCGTAGTTGCATTCAATGTCAATTTCGTCTCGAGGCAAATTCGTAAAAATTGCAAAAATCCATAAATTAGCCGCATCATTGTTTAAGTGTTCAAAGCATGTGAAAAAAGTAGCGGCTTATAGTCCGGAAATTACAGTACTCAGCAAAACAGCTTTTTTCTTAATGTTTCTGTTGTCTATAGCAACACATGCTTTTTGAGGCACTACATGCTGCACACTGTTCTCACAGTAAAAGTCCAATAAATACAATGTTCCCAAAGTTTTAGTTTAGTTTTCTTTTCTTTTTTTTTTTTTTTTAGTAAATAATCAGGAGGATTAGACTGCAGATAAAGTGGCAGACTTGTCGTAGCCAGATCAAATGAACAGAAATCATGTCTGACACAAATGAAGCAACTGAAGGGCAAAAAGAGGACCACTTCACATTAGCTTTCTGCAGTGAGACATGGGTCTTTGTCGCATTTTTTCCATTTGCGTAACTTTAGAACATTTAAAAACATTGAGTGAGTTTTAAATTGGGTTTCCAGGTAAAAAGGCACAAAGAGGAAAAATCAACAGAGTCTGGACTAATCTACAAGTCTTTGATTGACAGGTTTTGATCTTTGAATCCATTTGGCTGTGAAGGGAAACAAAACAGGAAGCAGGAAGGAAACCTAACCAAAATAGAAGTTGGGACATTTAGCAAGTCACAGGGATTGAGAAAATGCCAGCAGGCATTACAGGCTACCGGCTCACAGTCCCAAAGGGAAGAGACGAACTCAGTATTGGATTTGGCACTGTGGTCCAACACTCAGCGGAGCTGTCTGACTACTTTGCAGAGCTTACTGGGCCATGGGAAGTGGGGAGGGATGAGATGTATGAAAAGAAAGATTAGATACATGCATCTGGGGTTGAGCAGTTAGTCTGGAAAATAAACTTCTGCCCCATGGAAATTGGGTGCAGAGGATTTGTGGCAACTCAAACTCCCAGACCACTTAGGGATTTGTGACCTGGCTTTGCTACGGGCATCAAGAAAGTATCAACTGCAGAGAGCGAGAAAGGGCTCAGTCTGAGGAGAGAAATGCTGCCAACAGGGCTCAACCAGGATACACTGTAGATATCAGGATTGTTGAAAATATTCTTGTTGGTGTTGACGCGGACATTTATGTGTTAATGTCCTCTGCTACTTTGTTTTGCGGCTATAAATCGATTTTTTTTTTTTAAACCAGAAAAATTTCTTTAGACTTTATGCATCTTTTATTAAATTAACTAGATTTTTTAAAGCATGAGCAGGATGTATGATCAGCGTGTTTTAATGTTGTGTTTATGGATGTAAGTTGGTTACTTGTGGTTAAGTGCACAGCGCTTTGCCTTTACTAGATGTATTATGGCTGTGATTAAACTATTACTTAAAGTGAACACATGGTATTTTAATGTGTGTATAATTAGCACTACGTGCAACTTAATTCTCCTGCATCCGGTCCATATAAAATGAATGACTGTACATTCGAATTCAGGGCGACTTGAGGCTTGATCTTGAATTTTATCTTAAACAGAAAATCTTGGCTTTCATACCTCTACTTTCCAAACTATTCATACAATTTAATCTAGTTTTACTACAGACAAACTTATCGACTTTTCTCGTGTGCCGTAGCTTTTACACACTGACAGTTACAGAATTTGAAAGTTTGGAACAAATACAAGGTTTCCTACCGTTTCTGAAGACACCAACGGTAAGCACACCTGCATCAATGGACGTTCAGCAATCTCTGTGTTGTCGGTTTGTACTTGGTTCCACAAAGAAAGCGTCTGCAGTTCTTCTTCCTCCCCATATACTCACAGAAACACTTGGGTTGCATCGACTCTGAGCGTAAGAGTCAGGCAGCCCACTGCTGTAACCCAAAATGACTTCCTGTGTGGTGAATAACTGGCCTATAACCCGAGGTCTTCACTGTTTTAGACAAAAAGAGGGTTGTTTGTGGGGGCTTCTTTTTGTGCATCTTTGCTCTGATTTTACAGATTTTCACACAGAAAGTTGTCAATCGCAGAACATTTGGTAGATGTATTGTTTTTTATATTAAAATTAGCTTTTTTTTTTCTACAGTTTTTCTTGAGAATTTCTTGCTCGATTAAATGTCATTTAGTGTTTCCTGTGTCAAGATTTTGTCACGTAGCATCGGCACCACACGTGCGCTTCGTTTTTCATGCAATAGCAGCGCGAAATTTAAACATTCAAGCTCCTTGACTGTATTCCAAATCTAACCTCGTACCATTTATTCAGTAAATCAGGGTCAAATGAATCTGCTACTGCGGCAGCTATTTCTGTTAATTTGAGCAGGAACATACTGACATTTCAACATCTGCTCTGCCAAGTGCAAAAGGAAGCAGGGTGACATTTACTCTTTTCATCATCATCTGGCTCCGTTTCTGCATCAAACTGGAAGGTGAACATAAACTCTAATTTGTGACAATATTTAATTCAAGCTTAACCTTTCAAAGTAATATTTCGCTTCAGGTTAATATTTTTATTTCATAGCTTAAACACAATTAGGTCATACTGTGAAAACACTACTTTAAAAAACTTCTAGGTCACATCCTCAGCACTTACACCTTGATGGTTACGTGCTCTGCTAGTTGATACATAAACTAAAATTCAGGAGGTGAGAGACTTTTAAACTCAAGCTATTAGGAGCCATATAACAACTCAAATGAGGTAGAAAAATCTGCTGAATCATGTGTGAGAATAATTCAGTGTTGGTTGTGAAGATGGGTTTTACTGGCCTGTGAACGGGCCAAATTGACAATAACATTACTCATTCTTGTTTAAAACCTGGAGCAAATCCAGGAGTTTCTATGAGCGATGTTCTGCTTAAGAGCCCGTTTTCTCTTAACTGCACAAAAATGTGACCTAGGCACTTACTTGAGCTTGCTTTTTAACCTCAAGGAGAGAGGAAAACTTTTGAGCTATTCAGGCCAAACATTACACATTTAAAGGAAGTCTGTGGTTTACTAGCAGATGGGCTTCGTTTTTGTTGCTCACGCCAACTGTTGTATCATGATAACACTGTACTCACCAGAATAACTGACAGAGCCTCTGAGCTGCCAACGTCTCCGGGGAGCCTCGTGGTTTACTCTAGATAAGCTACCACTTCATTTAGCTCAAAAGTTAACAAACTGCTAACAATCGTGCACACAAGCCCTGTGGATCCATGTTGAACTAGAGAGTTGGTCTGTAAACTGTGATGGATGCTTAGAATCGAGAGTTTCTGCAATAATTTGTCTTTTCTGTTCTTCCACTTTCACTAACTTGAAGGTTTGCTTTCTCTGTGGTTGGCAGGCTGCTCGTGTTATACCCATCTGACCTATTAATACTTTGTGTGCACAACCAACAGAACTGAAGACACAAAAGTAAATAGCTTTGTTACTGTTGTGGGAACAAAAATAGATTTGATGTGAAAGCATAAATGAAACCCTAAAGGTGTGTTCAGAAAGAAAACAAGCTGAGTTGCAACACAATAGGAAGTCAGCGGAAAGGTGCAATTAGACACAAATCAGTCCATCAATGTGGCTTGAAAATATATCAAATTTAGCAATTTTTTTTTTGGTTATCCAAGCACAGACAAAAGGGGGAACGGAAATGAAAGGTAATAACAGATAGAAGTGTAGTTCCTGATGAATCCTGACATCGATCAGTCAACACACACACAGAGCAGCACTCCTACGTCTATACTGGTTGTTTGGGCTAAATTGTTAGTCAGCAGCCAATTTGTGCAAAATAAGAAAAAAATGCTTTCTGTTTTGTCTGAGCACAGTATTGTTGTACAATGTTGTACAACAGCTCCCAGAATAAAAAAGACTGATTCCAAACGTTTAGTTTTCACGCCCCCGTGGTGCTCTTATGCAAAATGACAGAATGCACAGAAGTTTCCGACAGCCTCTGATCAGCACGTCGACTCTAGAGCTGCCCTACCTTTGCTTTTAAACAGAGCACTACTATGACAGAGTATCTTCCTGTCTGCAGTGGGTTGGAGGCCTGGTCTCCTCCAGAAAGCGATGCAGCAGAGCACAAGCGCACAAGGTCAGCCTCTCTCCTGTGGTTTCTTCTGCAATGGTATAGCCTGACTTCCTGTGAAAGATTACCATCTAGCCTCTCATATTCTCACTGATGCTTATCTTTTGAGCCGCAAACGCCAACTCCCTGAACATCTCTACACCTTGGCCCCCAGTGACAGCTCCATCGGCCTGTCAATCTGGCATCCCATCCTGTGTCCTCAACCTCCCCCCTTCTCGTCCCAACAGCCAAAAAGATGAGCCTCCTCTGTCCTGGACCTGTCACCAAGAAATAAGATCCAGAGTCCCAGTCTGGGGGGGTGACGAGCACAGAGGTTGAATACGGGTGAGGTCTGTCTCTGTTGCAAAAAATTCTGGAGTTTCATAGATTAATATAAACCGAGTCTTTCATGCACTCATAGGTGTCTCGCTGCAGTTAAAGTCAAGCTGTTGAATTCCCTGCTCCACAGGAAGGATGCATGTGATCACATTGATAAACCACATAAGACCATCTCTAAACAGCTGCAGAGGTAGACGGTATCAGGAGGCCTGCTTCTTCACAGAATAACCACAACGTGATGGTAACTGTGGGCTGACATTTCCTATAAAACAATTACCTATACCTTCACAAACTGACATCTACTTCACCTTGAATGTGTACATTGTTTTATTTGTATTATCTTCGTTATACTTGCTAAGTTTAAGAAAGAAATTCTAAAGTTTTGTGTTGTCTACATTTCTGTCTCAAATGACCGGGTATGTTAGAGTCTACAGTCATTTTAATGCCTCTGTGAGGCTTATGACAGCATGCTGACGTACTGATATGTAGCAGGAACAGAGTTTTACCACCTCCAGCATGGTAGCTTATTATAATAATATGACAAGTACTAACTAAAGTACAACTTGTGCTGATGAGAATATCATTAATTTGAAATTGTATTGGACAAATTAAAAAAATACCTAATGGGGTTTGATAAAAAGTCACCAATTTATTATGAGGGAAACCATAAATGTCTGCACCAATCCCACCTCATGCAATCTGTCCAACAGCTGTCAATCTATTTAAACAACAGGAGATCAAACACAGTACATTTCAGGGAGTCCTGTTTGGGGAACAGTGAACACTGATTAAGCCTCAATTACAAGCAGCTAAATAGTAAAAATGCTCACATCAGTCTCTGACGTGCAAGAATCTGAGATGATGGAAATTTATGACTGGTGGTATCTAACACTGGGCGAAATTACCCACAAACATGTCAGCAAACTGTTGACAAAACAGTTGACAAACTGCCGAAGAGGTGCAAACGCACCGATGCTGACAGTTCCATCAAAATAAAATCTAGCTTTAACACTCAGCTGAGTCTTCAGCTAATTTTATAGGAGCCATAAAATCTTTGTTTGGGTCTGGTTTTACTTTGAAATTAATTGCTACATTTATTATATCAGAATAATACGTAAACATTCCCAGTTCACAAATAAGGGGTGCTCTTCTCCCTATTCTGCACTGTGTGAATGCAGGAAGGTTCTCATAGAGGCACCTTTTAAAAGATCTTGTTTACAAAGTTTAGTTGCAGAGATCACAAGGTTAAAAGTAGATGGCATTTACCTTGAAAGTACATTGCAAGATCAGATGACCTCAGTTTGACTTTAAAAAATTGAGGAACCCAGTTTCCTTAAAAACATTTAAGTTGTGTAAAGTGAAAGCTTGAGTGAATTTAACTTCACTTCATAAAGGACTGGAATTGTCATTCAAAGTTCTATACACTGAACACCAAACTTAAAATGTTCTGTAATATCAATTGCAAATAAAGTCACATAAAATGTAGTAATAATAATAATAATAATAAGAAAAAAGTAGGTATTATCTCATGATTACGACTCTGATGACATACTCTGTTTTAATTATAAACTATAGTCATAATGATTAGAAAATTGTATCAATAGTATGACTTCCTATATCATAATGATGTCGTAAGTCATTATTCTAAGAACTTAAACCATAAATATATGAAATGTTTTAATTATTCTAAAATACAAACTTATTATTATGACATACAGTCAGTTACATTTAAATGCTATGAGGCAAAATCGCAATCATAAGAAGCTTCATCACTATTCTGGCAGAAAGAGGTGTCGTGAGGATTACAATTTAAACTTAAAGTTATTCACACTTTTAAATATGCCTAATAATTAGTAGATTATACATAATATAGTGACGCAAATAAACTTGAATGTTTGAAGTACAATGTGAGTAGATATGAGCCATGAGCTGACTGTGTCGTCAACCAGGAATGTGTGTTTGCTTGCATTTGCAGGCCGAGGCCCGCTTGAAACAATGAGTGAATATGATGTGTCATCCGAGCACATCTAAAGTCCAAAGTGCGTATGACTGTTCCAATGGCCACACCTGAGCCGAGGTGAAAAGCCTGGAGAACCTTCCACAAAGGCGTTCATTGTTCTGCATTTGCAGTGATCTAAGTGAGACAAAACAAAACAAAACAAAACAAAGGTCTTCAAATCCTGCCCACCTTCCCACCTCTGCACACCTACCACTTCCCTGCATAAAGACACGTATGTAGGACTGTCGGTCTCGGAAAGTTACCTAAATTGTTGGACTCAGCCCCCGTAAATATGCTGTCAGAGAGCTGGGGGGGTTTCAGACGCTGTTTTTGGCATCTCACAAGAACTTTGCTCAAATTGTACTTACACCTTCAATAACACAGAACATTACACCATTTTCTTATTTCTTGGTGGTTACATAATCAAATCAGGAACTACAACAATCACTTTCATCAGTATGTGTTATGAAATAAATGCACGAAATAAATGCGG